ACATACATCGACTGACATACATCGACTGACATACATCGACTGACATACATCGACTGACATACATACATCGACATACATACATCGACATACATACATCGACATACATACATCGACATACATACATCGACATACATACATCGACATACATACATCGACATACATACATCGACATACATACATCGACATACATACATTGACATACATCGACATACATCGACATACATCGACATACATGACATACATACATCGACATACATACATCGACATACATACATCGACATACATACATCGACATACATACATCGACATACATACATTGACATACATTGACATACATTGACATACATTGACATACATTGACATACATTGACATACATTGACATACATACATTGACATACATACATTGACATACATACATTGACATACATACATTGACATACATACATTGACATACATACATACATACATACATTGACATACATTGACATACATTGACATACATTGATATACATTGACATACATTGACATACATTGACATACATTGACATACATTGACATACATTGACTGACATACATTGACTGACATACATTGACTGACATACATTGACTGACATACATTGACTGACATACATTGACTGACATACATTGACTGACATACATTGACTGACATACATTGACTGACATACATTGACTGACATACATTGACTCACATACATTGACTGACATACATTGACTGACATACATTGACTGACATACATTGACTGACACACATTGACTGACACACATTGACTGACACACATTGACTGACACACATTGACTGACACACATTGACTGACACACATTGACTGACACACATTGACTGACATACATTGACTGACATACATTGACTGACATACATTGACTGACATACATTGACTGACATACATTGACTGACATACATTGACTGACATACATTGACATACATACATACATACATTGACATACATACATTGACATACATACATTGACATACATACATTGACATACATACATTGACATACATACATTGACATACATACATTGACATACATACATTGACATACATACATTGACATACATACATTGACATACATACATTGACATACATTGACATACATTGACATACATACATTGACATACATACATTGACATACATACATTTACATACATACATTTACATACATTTACATACATTTACATACATTTACATACATTTACATACATTTACATACACTTACATACATTTACATACATTTACATACATTTACATACATTTACATACATTCACATACATTTACATACATTTACATACATTCACATACATTTACATACATTTACATACATTTACATACATTTACATACATTTACATACATTTACATACATTTACATACATTTACATACATTTACATACATTTACATACATACATACATACATACATACATACATTGACATACATACATTGACATACATACATTGACATACATACATTGACATACATACATTGACATACATACATTGACATACATACATTGACATACATACATTGACATACATACATACATGCATGCATGCATACATGCATACATACATACATACCTGCAGACGGACAGACATACATTACATACATACAATACATACATTTACATACAATTACATACAATTACATACAATTACATACAATTACAAACAATTACATACAATTACATACAATTACATACAATTACATACAATTACATACAATTACATACAATTGCATACAACTACATACAATCACATACAATTACATACAATTGCATACAATTGCATACAACTACATACAATTGCATACAATTGCATACAATTGCATACAATTGCATACAATTGCATACAATTGCATACAATTACATACAATTACACACAATTGCATACAATTACATACATACATCCATTGATACATACATCCATCCATACATACATAAATACATACATGCATGCATAAAAACACACACACAGATACATACATTACATACATACATACCTACCTACCTACCTACATACATACCTACATACCTACATACCTACATACCTACATACCTACATACCTACCTACCTACCTACCTACGTACCTACGTACGTACGTACGTACCGCACGCACGCACGCACGCACGCACGCACGCACGTAAAAAAACACACACGCAGATATGTAATATATATATATATCTATGTGTGTGTGTATGTATATATATATTAGCTTTGGCAAAGGAGTTACTAGGCAGCTGCTGCTCCTTAAGTTGCTTCTCTTGTGACCAAGGTTGGACCTGTTCATAACTTTACTGTCCAGTCCTCAGTCAGAGTGACGGCAGAGTGGCAGATCTTGCCACCTCGCTATGCCAAGGTCCTTGGGCGCATCGGGCTGGACTGGGCTCCTCCAAGAGCGCAAGGAGAATGCGAAGTGGTTCGAGGAACGCCTCTCGTCGGTCTCAGAAAAGCTGGGTCTGGCACTGAATTTCCACTGGCGTCACTGGCTGTTTTTCAAACCCAGGGATCACGATCGATCACGTTCTGAGGTCTTCGAGTGCTGAAGGCTCTTGCACGAATTACTTGCGCCAGTGATGGCGGCTCTTTGCAATGGCTTGTGCCGCCATAGGTGCCCGCGAATCGCATCTCATTTTGCATCGACATCTCCTCGCTGGGAAGGCAGTGGTCAAATTTGAGCATTTCGTTAATTTTGGTAAACTTTTGTTGCATCTTCTCTGCATCTTCTGTTCCGCATGTTCCGTTTCTTTGCGCCGGGGCTGTCAATGTCCAGCTCACCATTTGACCAGCTGGGTAAGTGTTCCACAGGAGTCTTCCTTCAAATGATCAATCCTTGAGAGAAAAACGAAACGGCACCCACATTTCTGAAATACAGCTCCATTAATTAGCCATCGGTAACCTCCATTTTCACGGGCACAATCATCTACACGCGTCTTGCATGTCTTGTGGTCGCAGCATTTTGGCTTGGATTGGTCGAACTGCGTGCCATTGAGATCTATCATGTGGCCTTGATAGCCGTTAAAGGCTTAGTTGCATGGTGACACTTTTGATTCATAGCCATGGGATCATGACACAGAATTTGTATTGTAACCTGCATGGAAAGGACTGCACATGAACTTTGGTCAGAGTGAGAGAGAGAGAGAGAGCTCCTGCCTATGGCCGCTCTTCAAAAGGTTGTGAGAATATGCTGATGCATCTCGGCTGCCCCTTTGAAACTTTGTATCCGTTTGAATTCACAATTTTTGCAGGCTTGCTGCAAGGGAGCAGCAAATTTCAAGGCAACCCTGCCTTCCAAGGCTGACGACACGCTAACCACGCGTGCAAAAGAGCGCCAAAGAAAAGCCTCATGTCCTTGCCTTGCAGTGAATGGGGATGAACGTATTTCAGTCTTGGGTTGCAATGATTTCGAGACAGTTCCAGCGAAAGCATCATTGAGGCGCGTGGCGTGTGTTTGTCAGTCGGGCATGGGGCTCCACTGGGACCTTCTTCGACAAACTGCTTCGCAGGCAGGTGTTTACCATTCTTTGGTCATTACAAAAATTCTCGTCCGTGCGAGTCAGTCCTGCACGCCTTGGGCATATGACATCGCCATGTATCGAGCCTGCATGGACCGTATGGACACCAGCTGTTGCAGGCGCTTACGCCCGACTTCTCCTCTAGAGTGTTGGCGACCAACAGAAAATCCAAATGTCTCCCAAAACAAGATGAGACCAAGTACGGCCAAATCATTCTGTCATGCATGGCTACATTACTGCTTAGGCACTACTGGCTTCATATGCTGAGGTTGAATATGTCTGACCCTCTTCATCATTGGACACAAAGCGGCAAATAAACTTTTACAGAGAATTTCCAAGATATTTGGCTGGATGCTGGAAGTATGCTGGACTAAGGATTCAGGAGTTCCCCTGTATAGATCTCCCAAGCGCACGCTTCCGGGGGATGATGGCCTTATCAGACTGTGCCACGGCAGTTTTGATCATCGAGCTGTCAACCGTTTCGTGCACAGCATCTTTGAGCCGAGGCGCCCCTGGCGTGATCCTTCTTCATGTGCTGTGTGTGCTTTGGCTTAGATGTCTTAAGCCCTTCAGCATGCTGGTGGTATGTTGTGATCATGCTAGATTTTATGGAAGAGACGCAAGGCACAAAAGAAGCTTCTGCAATTGCTGGCGCCTTAGATGTAGGACAATGTAGGATGACCACTGAACTGCAGGAAGGAAACAAACTAGGGAAACTAGGGAAGGAGACAGGCACAGCCAACAGTACTGAGGCAGTACCAAGCAGCCCAAGAGCACCTTGTGGAAACTCTAGCAGTGCTACCTTTTGCTGAAGAATGTCCTTGCCCCACTGTGGTTCCAAGTGGGGTCGGGTTTGCATGCCTTTGCCACAGACAGAATGTGAGAGAGAGAGAGAGGGAGAGAGACAGAGAGAAAGAGAGAGGGAGAGAGAAAGAAAGAAACCAAAAGGGAGTTCCGATCCGGAGAGCCACCCAAAAGTCGGATTCGAGTTGGTTTCGGGTTTCGGGTTTCGGGTTTCGGGTTTCGTCGATTGAAACCAACTTTCGCTGTCGGTTTCGGGTTTCGGGTTTCGGGTTTCGGGTTTCGGGTTTCGTCGATTGAAACCCACTTTCGTTGTCGGTTTCGGGTTTCGGGTTTCGATCGGCCCGGGGGAAGTTAAGTCTTCAGAGTCGGTTTCGGGTTTCGGGTTTCGGGCTTCGGGTTTCGGGTTTCGATCGGTCCTGGGGAAGGTAAGTCTTCAGAGTCGGTTTCGGGTTTCGGGTTTCGGGTTTCGTCGATTGAAACCCACTTTCGCTGTCGGTTTCGGGTTTCGGGTTTCGGGTTTCGATCGGCCCTGGGGAAGTTAAGTCTTCAGAGTCGGTTTCGGGTTTCGGGTTTCGGGTTTCGATCGGTCCTGGGGAAGGTACAGTTATGGCCACTTACCAGTAATAACTGGCTATAAATGGGATTATACATTCTATAAATGGGGTTATAAGTACTTATAACTGATAAATGGCCATAACTGTAGGTCTTCAGAGTCGGTTTCGGGTTTCGGGTTTCGGGTTTCGGTCGGTCCTGGGGAAGTTAAGTCTTCAGAGTCGGTTTCGGGTTTCGGGTTTCGGGTTTCGCAGTTCGAAACCAACTTTAACAGTCGGTTTCGGGTTTCGGGTTTCGGGTTTCGGGTTTCGCTGGTCGAAACCAACTCTGCAGACCTCTCTCCGGATCACGTCTCCCAAAAGGAAAGGCAAGGAAAGGAAAGGAAAGAAACAAAAAGTGAAAAAAGAAAGAAAAAGAGAAATAGAGAGAGAGAGAGACGCACAGAGTCTCACACAGCATCATTCTTTCATTCTTTATCCTCATTGCGTCAATTGGCTCTGAAGGATATGGCAGGGTTTCCAGTTTGATCATCAGAAATGCTCTGTCAGAACAGCTGCAACCGATTCAGCCAAACGAATTTAAGCACAACACGCACCAGCCCATGCGTTCTCAACACATCGCATCAAACCTCTCAATGCTGCCTGGATGCCGTGATGACTACAATGCTCTGTGACCGGCGCTGTGGCTGTCGGCGTGCGCCAGGGTTCAAGACTTGTTGCAGAGGTTGTCCAACAACTGGGGTCCATGATCCCGGGTGCCTAGGTCCTCCGGCAGAGGGAGAGCCGGAGGTCTCCAATCCCCACAGTACAGATGCCCCTGATGAAAATCCAGAGATGTGCCTACCTGCTGAAGATCCAGTTCCCAGTTGTTTGCCGACGCCACACTGGAGCAATCGAGATGTTCCTCCGGTGAAATGGGGCATGCGTTGCAAGCAGTTCAACGATTTTTTGGATGCGTGTGCTGCAACCAGGGCATGGGAGGAGGAGGCCAAGGCAGTGGGCTATGTGAATCTCTATGCTCTCAATGGGCGTTTGCTGGTCAACTGGACCCGTCAAACTGGCTGTGGAATTGCCCTGAGGATGAACCCAATAGAAACTTTAGCAGCTCAGTTGATGGTGTCACATTGTTGGGCAGAAGACATGACGGAATGCAGAGATGCCCTGGATGAGTTCCGGGTTCAACAAAACATTTCACGAGATTCAGTTCTATGGTTTTGTGCCTTCTCACAGTACCAAGCCGGTGATGAAGCTGGGGATGTTGGTCCCACCATTCAAGAACAGCTGAATCAGGACCCCTTCGGTGTTGTGGTGAAACATGTCGCCTCTTGCTTTGGAATGGTAGTGGTTCACACTTCACGTGCAGAAATCTACAGCCGCTTGTGGTCTTCTGGGTTTGCTTAAGGTGATTTTAGATTTTAGAGTGATTTTATTTTCCCGGGGAATTCCACCAATTTGGGAACCTAGTTAGAGTTATAAGTTATAAGTTATAAGTTATGAGGACTATGTTTAAATGTTTTTAAGGCCCCCCTTACGCAAATCCAAGGTGTGTATACGAAATTTCGGAGGCAATGAAGGTAGGTTGCAAAGTGGAGGTTGCATGCTCCTTGGACTATGTAAACACAGGTGCTGGGAACCTTCAGGACCTGCTGCAAGCCCGCACAGAAGAAGCACGTTGCAAGTCTCAGGATGATGAGGAGTGGATTAGGAGCAGGGTCACAGAGAAAATGAGGTGGTTAGATCTGGACAATATAATCTTCAAGTTCAGATACGATGCCCTGCGAAAACTTATGCAGAGGCATGCTGACAAGCTAAAGTCAACCATAGCCGCAGAACTCAAAAATCTTTGTGCAATGCCTCCGAGAGAGAAGAAACAATCCGCAAAAGCGAAGCCAGAGGTTTGCTTGAGCAAGCCACCTTCTTCTGGAGTGGCCAAAGCAGCTGAACAGGAAAAGAAGCAAGAAGGAGTTATGCAGCGATTTTGTTCCATTTTTGCGAGTATGTTCGCGCCTCCACCGACCCTGGTAGAGTCAGCAGAAGAACCAGTGGAGCCTCGGCATGATAGCTTCTAGAAATGGCATGTGCAAGCTTCGAGAAACACGTTTTTTTTTTAAAATAATTTCCCATGGTGTTCGTCCATCTTCATATCGCACCAGTCTCGTCATGTGGTGTAGTTGCCCTTAGAAAAGTCCAAGGGGACCAGGTGGAGGACTTCAAGATACTGTAGCTCTCTCATTCCCTCCAACTCGGTTCTAAGGAGCCAGAGCCACAAGAGGAAGAAGAGGAGGAGGAAGACGAAGAAGATAAAGCGATGCGTGACCGACTGATCTTGCTGCAGAAGCTCCAGCAGGAACTGGATAAATAGATATAAATAGCTGCTATAGTTTTTTTGATGCATTTTGGAATGTTTTGGATAGATGGAATTTGCCCATATTTGCCCTAGCCTTGTTGATGTTTCACCTTGGTGCGCTCGGAACCGAGCTGCTCAGGGTCCATCCCGCGACTCTTTTCAAACAGACTTGACAGAACGCCGATTTTTTGCCTGTCTTCGCTGGCAAGTCCCAAGGATTTGTCGCCAGGGCAATGGCGGGTTGCAAAAAAATGTTTTTCGCGAGATGTTTGCCAGAGTTCCGATGTCATTTGCTGAAAGAAGTTGGAGGGCATTGGAACATCCATCATTCGCAGATAGTCTGTAGCAGCTGGACATGATGATGACGAGGATGAGGATGAGGATGACTATGACAATGACGATGACGACGATGACGACGACGATGATGATGATGCTGATGATGGTGGTGGTGGTGGTGGTGATGGTGGTGGTGGTGATGGTGATGATGAAATACTATTCATATATTCACAATATCCTTAACCACGAACATATCCAGATGGATGCAGATATGCAGATACAGATGCGCTCACACACACACATGCACACTCGGGGATATACATCTCACACATCCACACACATCTCCAGCCAGCAGTCTTTGCATTGACATGACCGCAGGCTTGAAAAGAAATGCACCTGCCTTAGCTTCTGTTGTAGCTGAAGCCAAGGTCTCCAGCCCCAAGCACAACCCAGATGGCCAATATCCACCTTTGACGCCCGAAGCTCAAATTTTCACCTTGAGAGCCTGGCACGAGTCTTCTGCACTCAAGGTCCATTCGAACTATGTCCGATTTTACCGAGCAATCTCATACTACTTTCAAACCGCCTCCGCCTCAAGTGCAGCCTTTGGGATCATTGGGACTTGCATTTTTACCGCTCTTGACGTGGCAGTCAGTCACCATTTTGATCTCAGGCTGAGCTCATAGAGGATTTGCTTTGGCAGCCAAGCAGGACTGGAGTGACTCGAGCAACATCATCAGCAAAAAATAGCAGGAAAAACCCATTAACAAATGAACGAAGGTTGATGCTGAAAAGTGAATGAGGACCTGCATGGATGATGCTGACTGCCAGGGAATGCTGGATCATGCCTGGCTCTTGGCAAATTGCAGCTGCTTTCCACGCAGATCCACACAGTTTCCTATTGGGCAGTAACTACTTGCTTTCCAAGCCCCGCTCAGCCTGCACTCAGTGATGTAAGGTCTGCAGCATGCGGCTGCATCGATGCGTTCACATGCAGGAAGGTTGTCCGAAGAATGCGGAGGCTCGGCTGTTTGACTTGGATCGGATGATCCATTGGAAATATGAGAATACCGACCCACAATATTTATTACAATGTCAGTGGTAAAGTTATTTACCAACTGTAATATCTACAGGTGGCAGCTCACAAGTCCCAGCAAACCCAAAGCACCGCTCTTTCCATCAACGGTCAAACGTCAGTCAGATCTACGTCTAAGGGGGGACCTGCACGACCCAAGCCAACATGGCATTGATCGACTCTCGCAAGTATCAGAGTGTAAAGATGGACAGCACCAAAACAGAACCGCAAATCACACATCCCCAAAATAATTTTTCTTTACACTCTGACCCTTTCTAGGAAGCATGTCATTGTCCTCTACGATGATGAATTTTCCCCAATCCATTATCTTACTCAAAAGACTCACAGAGACCCCTCTCTTGGTAAGGATATCACCCAACATCTGGTAAGTAGCAATCCAGCGCAAGTGTATGTGATGTGTGCTCAAGTCCTCTTTGACAATCAGCATTTCGATGGCATGTCTTTTGTCTCGGATGTTCGTGTTGTTTCCAGCCCGTGTGTGGTCGAACAACGGTTTGTTGTCCACAATGGCCAGAATTGGCACCTTTTTCTCCCAGACATCGTCCTCTTTCACAGTGTACTCAGCAAACATGGCTTCACACCACATACTTCGCATCCAACGAGTTTCGGCTAGGGTTCTTGACAGGGCAAACAGCTCAGCACCAAGTGTTGAAGGAGTACGCCTATCCTGTTTATAGCTTTTCCAACGCAAAAGTGAAAAGGTGGCCCAAACATCATGCATCATTTTCTTGTCAGCAGCAGCGACCATGTATCCTGCCTGAGAGAACTTCTCACTGGCGTTCGCCCAAGCAGCATCAGACACAGCCATGAAACACATGTCCTTTGGGGGTATATGTTTTATTTTCACCTTCATGATCCCCGTTGAAATTTTTGTTACTAAATCTGAGGCCTCAGGGCCGTTACAGAATGGTTTTTGGTTACCATTTTGTGCAAAATTTTGACCCTGGGTTTTGCCATCTTGTAAGTGGACCCCCCCCGGTACCGGAATTTTGCATTGGAAGTGCGAGTTTGTTACCCTCCAGTCCCGACCATTCTGTCGGAGTCTGGAGGGCTAATCAATAACCATTACAAATTGGATGGATTTAAAGCGTAGATGAAGAATGCTTAACTATAGACCCTACAATCTGGATGGAAGTTAGATAGAACGACTAGAAAACACATCCATTTTTCATTTTATTTAGTTTTATTCTTTTTTATTTGCTTTGGTGGCTGCGCTTGCTTCAGTTGGTGTCCCGACATGCATGTGAGTTTATGTGTTTCACATTGAGCGCAGTCTTGGACCCCATTGCTCATGGAAGAAGAATTAAATGTAGAATTTTGTGCATCAAGTTTTGTGCATAAATGTAGAATTTAATATATTTGTTTTTATAATATATATATATAAAAATCGATATTTATATTTTTTGATTTGACATCCAACTGTTGGAAAATATCTCTTAGACATATTGGTACGTTGTATATATTCAATGTTTACTTTGGCCACTCATAGAGCATCACGCCACAACAGACTGATGAACGCAAAAGAACGGGAAAAATGAACCGCGACTCGGGTTGGCCGGGCTGTTGCAGGTTACTGCCTAGGGATCCTAGGATAGTGCGAGTATAGCCACCCCCAGTCCCCACCATTCTGTAAAGGGCAAATCGAGCGAACGGATGCGAGCGGATGCGAGTCGAGCAAAATCGGGGTACCATTTTGTAACTAGGGGTCAGCTTGGACTGCCATTTTGTAACAAAAACCTTCCTCGGTGAACGTTGGGTTCTGCCAACTTGTAGGAAGGGCACCTTGGGGATGCCATTCTGTAGTTACAAAATGGGGCTCCCAACCCCTCGGGTCAAATCTGAACGGGGATCCTTCATGTCAGCATGCTCATGCACACAAGCCACCAACCGGTTTGTGTCAACCAAGTCTTCCACAACTGATTGAGTCACACGCTGCTGCAACAAGGAACAACTCGCGGCCAAGTCAGGTCTAGTACCTGTTACCAACCAGTTCACTGCACCAAGCACTGCTCTCATTTGTTTCTTTTCTTCTTCATTAGTCTCAGCATCTCTGAACTTCTTTCTCTGAGTGCTGATTTCAATTCCTTTTAATCTTCGAGCATACTCAGTTTGTTGGATCACAATGTCTCCATTGGACATTTGTTCAACATGCTTTCCAAGGAACTCTCCCTTTCCAACATGCCAGTGCTTGAAGGGGTACTTCCTTTTCAACGGTTCCACAACCTCACGCAAGAACTCTTCGTTTCCTCCCAGACACATGTCATCCACGTGTATGGCAACAACTCCAATCAGGTGATTCGGTTTATGCTTCGAGTGAGCATAATAAAGGCACCCGTCAAACTTGGATTGTTTACAGTTCAACTCCCTCAAGGTTCTGGTAAAGGACTGATACCAGGCAAGAGGTGCGTCCGCAAGGCCATACACAGCCTTGACACACTCAAGCAAGGCTCCTTCCTCCATTCCTTCCATACCTCCTGGAGGTTGTGACACAAAGATCCGACCCTCAGCACGGTTCAAGTTGTCACCACGCAAGAAGGCACCTTCAACATCGCAAATTTGCAACGTCCACTTGTGGCTAGCTACGCATTGCAAGGCTATGGCACAACCCTCACTACTCAAGGTAGGTGCTTCAGTATCCAACCGAAGTAGATCGGGATCTTGATAACCTCTGATGCACCATCTCGCCTTGAGTTCTGTCAAGTCGTTCAATTCTTGTTCGTCAGCTTTTGTTATGACATAGCGCGACTTCAAGATGCGCCCTCTCAGCTTTGGATCATTTCTAACTGCATCACTCTCATTTTTGCTCAACACGCGCACAGCACCACTTGAAACAAGCTTGTTCAGTTCTTTCAGTTTGGCCTTTTGAAGGCCAGGTTTGTGACATGATTTCAGTTCGTTTTCAAACACCTCTTTCCTACCTCGCCTCTTTTCGGTCATGTTTACTTCAAACCCTTCAAATGGCTGCGTCGAAGAACTTGTAAATGGCTGCGGCGAAGAACCTACAAATGGCTGCGGTGACGAACCGGTAAATGGCTGCGGTGACGAACCTGTAAATGGCTGCGGTGAAGAACAGACCTGTTGTTGTGCATGTCTTCGGATCGGACCACCTTGATCCAACAAGTTCAAGTTTGTCCTCATGGCAGTCATCAGTGGCTGATGTGTCCTCACTGGTCCGTACTCATGTCCCTGCTCATTTCTCCGCTGACTTCCGACCCCCGGAGGGGCATTTCCTTCTCGCTCTTGATTGTCGCCCGGAGGCTCTGTTGTGTCGCTATGCACTGTCTCAGGTTCTTGTTGGGGTTCATCCATGCCAGTTCCAAGACTCCTTGGTGGTGTTTCACTTGGTGTGACAGGATTATCAACAGGGGTTTGAGCCAATGAAGGGGTTTGAGCCAGTGAAGTGGGACTGTAACCATCGTTACTTACCTCGTTTCCTTCCAACCTCGGCCTTACCCTTCTTTCATCAACTTCATTCTCTTCTCTCTCTCTCAACATGCCCCCAAAACCCTGAAACATCTCAGCATCGTCATCCTCGTTCATTTCCTTAGAGTCTTCCAGAACCGGAGGCTTCTCGCGGGTTGACAAGTCGATGTAGTTCCCTGACCCTTTTTCATGCATACGCTTCCTAACGCTCAGCAAGTCTTCAGGCAACATCCTGATTAGAGATTCCTGTTCTTGAGACACCTTTCTAAGCTGTTCAGGACTACACTTGTACATCTTAGTACCCTTAGCCACCCAAATTTTGGAATTCCCATCATGATACCCAATGACAGTGCCCGGCCCGTGCCAACACGCCTTTTTTTCTCGCGGCCACATTCTCCAGAAATAGACCAAGTCTCCCGGTGCATATGGTCCTCTCGTGGGTCTAGTTTGGTGATTGACTGCCCTTCGTATTCTATCCTCCTCATGAGCCTCTATGTAGGCCTTTTGGGCAGCCTTTCTGATTTCATGTCTCTTTACGTACATGGTTTCTCCCGCCTTGAGGGCAGACGACTCCACGACCTTTTCATCTCTCAGTTCAAGGTTACCCGGGATTCCTGCTTCTTTCCCAAAAACATGCTGGTGCGGCGAAAACCCATCGACCCTCGGAAGGGTGTTGACAGCAAATGTGACCTGATCACAAATTTCTTCAACTTCAGGCTTCGCAGACGGAGAAACGGCTAACACAGTTTTGTAGAAGGCCTCTTTCCAGACCCCACCTCTTCTCTCAGCCATGCCGTTCTGGTGTGGTGCCATGGCTGCCGTGGTGTCTAAGGAACTTCCGTCACTTTCAACACCCTGTGCAAACTCGGCCTCAAACTCTTTTCCGTTATCAGCCAGAACTCTCCTAGGACATCCTGCCCATCTTTTCCAGTACTTTCGGTAGCAGGACCTCACATTCGACGCCTGAGCTCCATGCCACAAGGGTGCAACTGTTTGATACCCTGTGGCCTCATCAACTATGTTCAACAACTTCAACTTCCTACCAATCACGTCAACCTCAAAACGTGTCAACCATGACTTGTTGATTGAACTCCCAAGCCCTCCTTTCTTTTGCAACTGGTCTTGATGCCGGCTGCTTTTTCACATCACAGGCTGGACAAGTCAATCCCTTCGCAAGCTGCAAGGTTCTCTCACTGGCATGTGCGGATTTCAACATGACACTCAATCTACCGTTAGACGGGTGTCCAAGGTTCTCATGACATCTCCGCAGGGCTGCCATGATCTTTTTGTCATCAGTTTCTTTTGAAAACACTTCAACCGCATACACAGTGGACACAGCAACTTCTTTCTGTTTGTTGTATTCATATTCCAAAAACCCTGCCAGAATTGCATTCACCATGGCCTTGGGGTACCTTTGAGCTACCTCACTCCGTTTCTTCCATCCAAAAGGCGTTTTGACGTTTCCCAAAATGGGTTCATGTTCGTGGGTTTTGTCACACAGTCTACTGAGTCTCTCAGCAATCTCTCTACAGTCCGTCATTATCCCAGTAGATTTCTTATACCTCTTTTTACTCACAGGGTCTCTAAGTCCAAACATACACTGATCCATTTTGATCACTTGCACTCCACGCATCCCAGAGACCTTTTTCACGCATGCCTCGTTCCACGAGTCCGCAAGCCATGGATGTTCAAAAACGAACTTCAGGCCTTGTGTGTGTTGGTGTGCGCACAGTTCCATAGCAAATTCCAAAAGTTCACGACCCTTCCTAAGATTATCATAGTACCGTTCACCCCTCAAAACAGTAAGACGTTGCAAGGTAGAAAAGGGACCACATGGGGGACACACCACCAACAGTTTGGGTCTCTTTCTCTTGACCAGTTCAAGAACTTGCTTTCTATGTTCGGGTCTTTGCAGGTCGCACCCAACCTTGATGTCAAAAGCATGGTCAGCTCTGAGAGACATTTTCTGTGCTGCGGCAGTTATATGAGGGGTCGAAAACACTTCCATGACATCCTGACCACTAACATCACAAACAGTCATCACATCAACAACCTCATGATGCTCACGCATGATTTTCTCAATCGACCTCCTAACCGACTTCCTCTCTGCCTTTGTCATGACCGATGTCTCTCCCGGCGGCTCACTCTCACTCTCTACTTGTCGGCAAGCTTCGTCAGCTCTTGCAACTTCGTCTCGATCTTGCTCTTCTCTTTCAAGGCCTGATGAATCCTGTTCTCCAGGTTCTCCAGGTGAGTGCGGTATTGCTGGATCTCCGTGAGGGTGATCACTTGTTTTTCCTCCATGGTCAAATTCTCTGCCTCCATCACTTCGTCCCAGCTGCTCTCCGTGGCTGTGCGACGAGTCGCACTTGCCCTTTCCTTGGCGAACTTCTCGACCATCACCTGTTTCATCATCCGATCTCGCTTCACTGTGTCTCGGCTTTCCACATACATGCGAAACTCCAGCATGTTGATCGAGAACTTGGTCTCCGCTGGAGACACATTCTGGCGGATCCATGCAAGGTAATCCTTCTGCTGGAGGTAGACCTCGCGAAAGATCTTCCCCTTGAATTTTCCGGTTGTCAAGAGCGTCCCTCCGAGCTGCTCTCCTTCGTCTTTCTCGTCTCCGGGCTGATCTGGTTGTTGGTCCAAGCTCTGAGCCAGCACCTGAGCTCTGTCGGCAGCTTCCTGGTACTTCTTCTTGTCTATCGCCAGCTTCAGGCTTGTCATCATATCCACTTCTTGGCTGCCCTGCGCACTCTTGCTCATCGACATGATGCGCGTCAGGCTTTTCGGAAGAGGAAACACGGACCTTTTCTTGAGAGGGAGCTGCAGCATCTGTGAGCGGTCTTGGTTCATCATCAACGTGCATGGTGTCGTGTGAAGCATAAGTGTGCACAACATCATCAAACAAAGGAATAGCGTAGTGACCCTTCGAGGTGATCCCCATACTCAGAGTAACCCCTATACTCCTGAATTCCACCATCGAAGAGGACATGTCTATCCTAGTTCCAAGCTGCTTCAAAAATTCCTTGCTAAGGAGAAGAGGTGTTCTCTCTCCCTGCCCAGATAACACAGCTGCTTTGATCACTACCGGCCTAGGACCAAACTTAACCGGAATCAACACGCTCCAACAAGTCTCCAAACATTCATTGTTTCCGAACCTGAAAACATTCTTCTCCTCAACATACCTGACTCGCCTTCCAATTTCCTTCAGTTTGTCCTGAATGCCTTTCAAAGTGACTTCACCCACCAAGGTTCTACGACAAGCAGTATCTGGCACTGCATGACTGAACAGACTGCACACATTGCTGCTCTCGCACATGTATGCCTCCTCGCCATCACGGTCTGAGCTACCAAAATGGTCCTCGAAAACTTTGGAAAACATTGAAACACTTGCGGCCCCCCTTTCTCTACAGCACTGTCTACCATCAAAGCCTCAAGTTGCTCGAGGCTGTCCTCAGCGAAAAACACTTCATCGAATTTGCCTCTCAGTTCTTGAGCTTCATGACTGACTCCATGGGCCTCCTCCTGAAGGGACTCATGATCTGCCACCATCGCCTCATGCCCATCCGACTTGGAAGTCTGGCTCTTTCCACTTCCTTTCATGAAAGCTCCACCTTTTGATCCCTTGTCCTTCTTCGGGCATTCGCGTTTCCAATGCCCTGGCCTCAGGCATATGTGACATCTCGTTCTATCCTTCAGCTGCTGGATCCTCGCTTGCATCGTTCCGGTGAGCTGAAGAGGTGGTTGGACATTGGGTTTGAAACCCCTGGCAACCTTCTGTGACTGCATCCTCTTCCGGATCTCACTGTAAGTCTCAAAGACCTCCAAGGCATCCTCGTAGTCGCCATCCATGTCCTGGGCATAGTCGGCAACCGCCTCAAACACCTCAGCTACAGTGTCCGGCTCCTCGTCTGGACTGGACTGATTCTCACTTGCCATCTCATCATTCATCATAAAGACTTCTTTCGCCTTTGGGTTCGTGGTGCACTTTCCTTCAGGCATCACCTTGAACAAGGCCTCCGTGATGTCAGCGTACTTGAGACTACCCTGAGCAGCCGTCAGTATGAGAGCTTCTTGTGTACTGTCGAGTGCTAGCTTCTTCAACAACAGCCAACCCTTCACCTCGTCGGGCAGCGTGATGTTGCTAGCTGCCAAGTGTCGATACACCGTTTCCAGCCTCACCACGAACTGTCTGTATGTCTCACCCTGCTTGATCACGCTCTTGTAAAAGTACTCCTTCAGGTACGTCTGGGTCTCCATCTGCTTGGTCTTCTGGTACTTCTCATCTAAGGCCTCTAAAACCTTGGCATACCCGTCCTCCTTGCACAACTGGCTGATGGTCAAGTGTTCTATCAGTTCCTCTGCCTCACCGCTGATGTACTCACACAACTTTGGACCCCACCGATTCTTCTCGTAGGTCGTTGGCAGTGAGAGCAGCATCAGTTCTGCCTTTCTCCTCCATTTCTTGTAGGTCGAGGGCTCCGTCCCGTCAAACCTCTCCAACTTCGTTCGCTCTTCATCTTTGGATGATGACGCCATGGATCTACTCTGGAGCTCCGCTACCACCTGTAATATCTACAGGTGGCAGCTCACAAGTCCCAGCAAACCCAAAGCACCGCTCTTTCCATCAACGGTCAAACGTCAGTCAGATCTACGTCTAAGGGGGGACCTGCACGACCCAAGCCAACATGGCATTGATCGACTCTCGCAAGTATCAGAGTGTAAAGATGGACAGCACCAAAACAGAACCGCAAATCACACCAACCGTTATTGTAATCCATTGGTTGCTACTATTATTACTATTATTGTTATTTTATGTTATTATTGTTATTATTATTGTTGAGTTCTTCTTCTTATTGTTATTTTTATTCTTGTCATGGTTGGTAATGTTTGTTTGTTTGTTTACACTTCGGGCAATTTGAGGTGTGTCCTCCAGCTGAGCGTTGCACATCGGTGAAGTCCTTCAGTGACAGCTGCGCCTTAGAGATTTCACCAGTGTGCATCAACAATGGCGAAATTCAGGCTGGCAGCGAGGTTTCTTAAGTCATGGGGCTACCCCAAAAGCGATAGTTTATGATGGAACATGCTTTAAACATCCTTTAAACATTTGGATGCGTGGGGGGTAGCCCCATTTTAAGACACCTCCAAATATCTCGAAATCTCACGGAAATAAATTGGACACAAACTTTGTCGGTGAGGTTAATCTCGACATTTCCCGACCTTTTGTGTTCTGCAGGCATTCCATCCAAACAAGGCCTGTCTTGCTGGCCTTGAAGTCCCCACGATGATCAAGGCTGCCGGACCCCCCAAACATTGACTTGCTAGTGGACTGTTGGTTCTTGGGGCAGAAACACAACCTTGCGAGGCATGCTCAGAGATGGGAACGACGCTTTACCCGTTGCAGTGGTGCTCCACTTCCTATCACCAGACCTTCCGCGATTTTGGAGGATAGCACTGAATGATTGGACTGGGACGCTGTGATTCGTGATTGATACTGGTGTGCACCTTTGACTCGTCAAGGAGCTGCAGCTGCAGAGGAAGCCTTCATCCTGCCCGTAACTCTGAGATTGAGGCGCGGCAAAAGCATTCCATGGCAGAATGTCAGAGACCTCTGCAGCCAATCTGAGGAGCCCATGGCATATGCTGCACTCATTGGTTCCTGCCTTCGCCCAAGCGCGGATGGATGAGAGCTACGGCTTCAATCCTGGAGGCTGCAGAGTCTTAGCTGTGCGGAGATTTGGTGATCTTGGCGTATCGTGGCCAATCTACTTCATTCAGAAGCATTGGGCAAAGCCAGCGGAATTCGCAACGCAGGTGACTTTGACCTTCTGATCGTGGACCAAGACCTCGACAAAGATCGCCACATTTGGGGGAAAGTATTCGGTGCTGAAGTGGCAGCCTCGAAGCAGCAAAGTTTTGCAGTTGGCAGTTTATTAACAGATTATAAATGATTATAACAGATTTAACAGGCTCAGTGTCATATAAGATTCGAATACTGCAAATCATATTTTGCAACCTGAAGGCCTCGAACAAGTCCATGGGTGGTTTGGATTTCCTGCTTCAGTTCCTTGGCCGCATCCTGCATGGCTGGCCCCCCAACATGGCCTGCTCGGCTAATTTTACTCAGGCTGATCAGCAACAGACCCTACAAGATGCTTGCAGAAGTGCAAGGCATGGATTTCCACGCAAGAAGTCCATTCATGCGGCGCATTCTACGCGAATGCTTGTTCCCCTTGCTTGTGCCCTATTCAGACATATTTCAGACATTTTGCGTGGGGCAGTCTTTGAAGTGTGATGTGCTAAAGCCACGCAACAAATTTCTTGCAGAAGCATTCCTTCCGATTTCTCGATGTCTACCAGCTCTGTGTTTGTTCTTTAGTGAGACTCTGGTGACCTAAAGCGTTCGTTCTGTCAAAACGAGTTCGGAAGCTCGCACGTTGTCCAGCGTGGTGGGGTGGTGCAGTGGTACTCGGATTTTTGTCGCAAGCTTCAGGGAATACCCCCAGTTTGTCAGAAGTAAAGGGTGTGAGTTGTCATCCAACACACACAGCCGCCCTTCTGATGTTCTTTGTGGGAATGTGTGCTAAAATATGCTGTTGAAGTTGCATTGCTGAAACCGTTTGCTTGGCTCATTTGTTTTTTGTACAACTAGCTCACTTCGGATCACTTGTTCAATTAGTTGGTGCGTGTTTGTTTGTGGAAGAGGCGCCTGCTACGAACGCGCAATTTGGGGGCATGAACTGATGCTATATTCTGGTGGTGGATGGGCCAACGAGACGCACATGATATGGCCTCAGTGCAACAAGATGCATGAGGGACAGGACAACCTGGCAAGACAAGAGCTGAAGGGACTTTGGACTAGGGCGGCTTTGGCAATTTTTTGTAGTGTTTCGAAGTTGCCACTTGGTCTGAGAAACATTTGCCTTCGAGGACTGGATTTGTCAATGCTGCTCGTCGGATGGTTCAGGCTCTGCCTGTGCAGGTGCTTCTTGAAAGTGGTGCAGATGTGTTCGCCTCTTCCAGGGTTGCACGACATGACTTACCACAGCCGCAGGAAGAAGTTGCTGGGATTCCTCGACTTCTCCTGGTGGAGAGGCGAAATAGCAGTGCATGGGGCCGCTGGCCGGAACCTCACTGAGATTTGTACCAGCCTTTCATCACTGCTCTCTTGCTGGAGTCATCTGGAGTCTAAGGATAGACAACTTTGCCGATGTTCATGCAACTGCTGAAGAATGGGTGGCCGAACACCCTGTCCAGCCCCAAGGTTGCTTCAGCAAAGACCCACACAATTAGATGCAACTAGTGATGTCTCGGATTTTTACCTCAGGCCTTGGTGAGTGGCGTAGAAGTGGCCGATTTAGCAGAGCTGACCTGGTCCAACCAGCTGCGGTTGGCTGTCAGGATGAGGTGGGAGCAGATGTTTCGATCTTTCATGATGTTCAAAACTGGGATCTCTTCATGTCCAGAGGTTGCTATTTGGTGCCCATGGCGATGGATTGAGCTGGGCCGTTTTCATGGGAGCTGGTTCTGCCTGGATCTCTTATATCGCACCAGTGATACCAACTCATCAAAAGTGGTTCCTGCAAAACTGATCAGCCGAGGCTTTGCTGGAAGCAGTGCCTGCAAGAGAGGCGGGTTTCCAGGCAAGGACCAAAGGGGTTTTCCGGGTTTGTTTCGTTGGTTCCAACTTTGATTCGTGCATGAAATTCTGCAAACAGCTCCATGATCACGGCAGGCTTGTGTCGGGGCCTTGGGATTATGCAGTTGCAGCTGCCACTGGAATGCTTCACTGTCGGCAGGACATGTGCTCATAAAAGCGCTAACCTTTACAGTTGCACCACCATGATCCACCATGCAGTTCCCTACAAACGTTAGCACAGTGAAGAGGCGAGGATGCCGGCGGCAAGTGAGGTGACAGGAGAAGCGGCTAATTATAGAACGGAAACTACGAGATCAATCACATATAGAATTGTGTAGAATATATATATATATAGAGTTGACAGCAATGCAGCTCAAGAGGGGGCAGAGATAGATTAGATAAATAGATAGATGGATGGGTGGACGGATGGATAGATAGTGGAAAGACAGCATGAGCAGCATCAGCAGCGACCACGGTCGCAACAAAAGACGAAGCGAGCGCAATTATTCCTGGAAGGTTTGATGAGAAAGCCCAACAGACTTAAGAAAGCAAGAAGAACATAGTAAAAGCATGCTTGCATCGCGCAGGGAAAGGAGGTAATTGTCTATTATGTAAAAAACATATACTGTACCTGTACATGGAGCTGCAGCCTCCTGTCCATTTGTTCCAGATCCTAAACTTGCTGAACTACATGCCAAGGTGGAAGGCATGAATGAAAATCCCTATGGGATCTTTGGTGGAGTGGCACGATTGGCCGGTGTTGCACATTTCTGCCTTGGGCTCGATTATTTCACACAGAGTCACTGGCTTCTAGCGGCTCCCTGGCGCATGTGATGGAACTAATCTCCAAGGCTTTCTGAACGAGGCTTCGAAGGCGGGTAACAGCTTGATATCAGACGTTTTTTTTTTCCATCATTAATTTTTATCATTTTGTGTTTGGTCTTTGGCTTGAGCATTCGCTGCGCTCTATGATGGCTGCTTCTATTCTGGCCCAGGTCTTAGCCTTCCAATCGGACGAGAAAGCATGCCCCTCAGTGGATCTTCCGCTGGTGCTTTTGCTGTTTTGAATTTGCGAACTTTCATTACTCTTCTGACCACTGAATCTGGTGTGCGGCGAGGATCTGTTTCAGTGGGGGTGGAGACAGCCACTTGCTTAGCTTTTCCATTAAAAAGAAAGGGGGCCAGACACTTTTGCCAATTGACCGATGGTTTGCTGCATGTCTTTGCAGGTTGAACTTGCACATTGACTTGGAGAAGTTCCGCTCTACTCCCAATTGCCTGTTCATGTCATTCGGCAAAAGCCACCATTTTGACCAAAGGCATTCGTTGCCGAGGTGAAGTTTTGGCTGAAGCTGCGGGCTTCGCTGGAGACTCCGCCGCCACAAGAAACGACCTTGCGCTACTGACTTTCATGTGTAGCCTTTGGAAGCATATCGAATCCCACAACACAACATCTGGGGCATTGGTGCATTCAATGCATTTCACTTCATTTGCGAATTTCGCTGGGGTCTGGAGTTTTATACTGCATTGTTTTCATTTGCATTTTCTGCTTTATTTGCTCGCCTTTTGATTTGATGTCTGGCTGTTTGGCTGTCCCCGATTTCGCTCGAAGCTTTCCAGCCAATCCTTGGTGGCCATCGCAAAGCGATGTGTTGCGCAGGCCGGCCGGAGAAAGCAACAGTTGCCAAAATGATATGGTTCAAACATTAGGGAGAACTAACTAAATTAGGCACTCCAGAGCATTCTGATTGAGTTGAGAGATTGTGTGAGCCTGTTTTGTGAGCAGGATTCAAGCCGCACTCAAGACATGGACGATGAACCACATGGGGAGCTTAAGGACTTGCTGCTTGCGTTGACAGTGTCCGTTCCTCGGTAGGAAGTAGAAAAAATCATGTAGCAGCACCCGGAGCTCTAGATATCTATATATATATATCTATCATCTATCCTTTCAATGCCTTTCACTCTTGTTTCTCTTCTTTTCCTTCTTCTAGCTCTTGATGATTCTTGAAGTCTGGATACCAGATGGCATCACGGTATACCAACTCATCCAACTCTGATTGAAGCCTCGTGCCAGGAGGGCACGGCGAGTGCCGCTCGAGCTTTCTTCAAGAAGTTGGTGACCAGGAAAGAGGGCTCCGTGCTGCGGGTAGCTGGGACTGGACACGGATATAGAAAGATATGGGAAGGACGGGTGGTATCGTGACATTTCGTGACACCTCCCTCCTTTTTCTGACTTTCAGCCCGCAATTGGAATAAAATTGAATCCAATCGATTCAAACTGGTACTGCACTTTCCATCACTTTCTCACATGGTCGCACCTCCATGACGCAAGAAAGTCCCCAGCAATGAAACCAAGGCATGGATGCAGCGTTTGGATCCAGAGTGGGAGCGAAGTGCCACCTGAATGCGACGACTTCATGGGTTCAATGGGTTCTCCTTGTTGATTAATCCTTGGGCCAGTGCTGACCCACAGCCAAGGTCACAGAGCAGAGGTTCATGCCGCTTGACTGAACACATCCAAAAGCCAGCCACTACGGCAGATTTTTGCCACTGATCCATTCCGCAGCTGAAGCCAGAGGTCCCATGGAGTCTTAAACTTATAACAAGGGAACTCAAAAGTGCTGCAATTTCAAAACTTCAGGCGCTACATGCGAGATATTCGATGTCCCAAGGACATCATGTCAAGTGATGCTATGGCTGCTATGGGAATGTGTCGTCTACCATAACAATATATATATATTTCATTGTAATCATTATGCTATATAATTATATAATATTGTATAACTATTTATCATCATTTATTAAATAAATTTATCACAGTGCAGTGGTAAACGGGGCCCGCGCCAACGCATAGAAGCCGCGAAGCCGCGAAATCCCGGAGAAGCCGCGAAGCCGTGGGAGCCGCACAGCGGCGGCGCACCGGGGGAGCCGCGAAGCCACGGAAGCCGCGAAGCCGCGAAGCCGCGGCGCGCCGGAGAAGCCGCGGAAGCCGCGCGCCGGAAACACAAAGACGTCAGGGTGTCAGTTGTGTCTTTGGAGCCACACTGTTTGGTATGCTGGGAAAGATTGCGCTGGCCTGGCTGCAGGAAAGCGGCCGGACAACAACGGTCGCAATCATTCTGCTGTATCGACGAATGGTTGACATTCTGGAAGCATGGTGACAAACGTTGCCTGACAGTCAACAATGTCGACGTGTTGTCGGGACCTCAGAATCTGTTCAAGGCGATTCCTTTGACAGAGTCATTTTTCTCAGTTTGCAGAGACGGTGGCCTGAAGAGGTCGTTCCCGCTGGTCACGGCACTCATGAAGGGCGACGTTTGGTCGGTCTCACTCGAGCGAAGCATGAGCTGCTGGTATTGGCAGAATCTTTGCAGAGGAGTACAGATCCCAAGACTTCCAACTTTCAAAGGTGCTACGCTGGAAATCAATTTGAACACCAGTGAAGCCACTAGCCACATTCTTCGAGCCCTCCACCTCGAGGAGGCTGGAGTCCCGGTACGCTTCGTAGAGCCGGCGCTCGGCCGTCCAATTCATGCAACATCCTGAACAATGGGAGACCGTCTGGCGGGGCATGACCTGGCAGCCGCCGCAGAGACGTCTTCCAGGCCTGCGCGTTGATTACCCTATGTTTGGTTTTCCAACAAGTGTATACATCGCATTATCTTCATCTCTGCTCTACATGTAGGTTTTTTCCTGGGAAACCACTAATAATTTTGAAATCACGTATTTGCATATTTTACGTCGATGCGCCCCTTCGACCCCAGGAAAAGAAATGGTTCAAACATGTTCACAATTATTTTCCTTTCGTGTACAAATGTCTCGCAACAGGAAAATGCCTTTGTCACGTTCTTCATGGGGATGAGTGAGTTCAGTCGAACATATATGTATGTCAAACCCCAGGAAAAATGACCCACTATTGTTTGAGGGGGTATGTTTTTTAAAACCTAAATTCAAACGGTTGGAAACAAGATAAACAAGGATTCAATTTGTTTAAATTAGGATAAAGCCAGATTTACATAGGCCAAACATCAGAAAAGAAATCTTGTCCAGCACTTTGTGGACAAAAAATCTTGGCAGAGTTCGAAGCTGTTTTCACATTCATCCCAGACTGGGGCCGCTCCGTGCTAGGCAAAAAGTATTATCTTTCGAAGCCAAGCTCTGCGCGGGAAAAGTTGTGGCTGCAGTCTCGCGCCTCCACTCTGCATAGATATGGGGATTTCCTATAAGTCATAGGGGTGCCCGGGTCATCATCCATTTATAGATGGGATTAATTTCCCTCATAAACCATCCGTCTTGGGTACCCTATTTATGGAACCCCCGCTGAATTTTGATATTTTCCAAAAATAAACCTAAAAATTGGAACGACACAGAGAAGATTAGCATGGCCCCTGCGCAAGGATGACGCGCACAAATCGAGAAGTGTAACAAGTTTTAAAATAGACGAACCAGTTGCAAAGTCTTTCAAAAGAACCTTGTGTCAAAAAACGTTCGTATTATTTTCCTTCGTACGCTTCAGCTGCGCGCCCACGCAAAAAAACAAAGACGCTTAAAGGGCCTTCTCCTGCCCCGCGGTACCGCGTCGCAGCACCGGGGGTTCACCACGGGCGTCGCAGCGTCGCAGCGTCGGAGGCGTCGCAGCGTCGGCGCCATGGTTCGCCGGGGGCGTCGTAGCGTCGCAGCATCGGAGGCATCGCAGCGTCGGGGGTTCGCTGGCTCGGAGGAGTCGCAGCGTCGGGGGTTCGCCGGGAGCGTCGCAGCGTCGGAGGCGTCGCAGCGTCGGGGCGTCGGAGGCGTCGCAGCATCGGGAGTTTGCTTGGAGTGTCGCAGCGTCGGAGGAGTCGCAGCACAATTGGTTCACCTGGGGTGTCGCAGCGTCGCGCGTCGGAGGCATCGCAGCGTCGGGGGTTCGCCGGGAGCGTCGCAGCGGCGCAGCGTCGCCCCTCGCCGGCTGGCCCCCTTTTCCCCTTGCGCTGATTTATCACCCATCCAATATATCCTTTGCTTTCCATGTGTCCTCCATTTGAAATGCCCATTTCTGGAGGATCCGCTTGCCTTGTTTGAGCAGCTTGACGCAGATGGTGGAGGTGAGCTTTCCCTCCAGGAGCGCAACGCGTTTCGTTTCTGTCTGCCCAACTGTTGGAATGACCGTGGATTGTGGCAGGAATTGGATGAGGATGCGGGCCTGATCCTTCATCATTTTCAGGAATACACTGTGGCAAAGTATAAAAGAGGTGTGGAGGACTATGCTGGGATGGCTGGGATGGTGGGACTTGGATCTTGAATAGCCATGAGTAGCTTTGGGCTGGTTTCCATTGGAGAGGCCTGATCTGATTTTCAGAAGCTCAGCCCAATGGCAGGAGTTTATGCGAAATGTGGGAGAGTGCGATGCCTGGGACCCTTATGATGAGGTGAAGATCACCTTTGAGTGTTTTGCTCAGATGCTGGCTTTTGTCGCCTCCATTAAACATTAGCTTGATACCCACTGCTCAATACGATGACCCTTCAACGTCATGTTGAATCACGCTTGCAGCATTTCTTAGGCAGTTTCAGGGCGCGTATCAAACGCACGGCTGGCACCATGGTCGAGAAGAACAGCTTTTCGATGCGATAAGCAGCTGCCCCATCACCATATGATGGCCATTTGCAGAGTTTCAATGCAGTGAACTTGCTGCACCTGAGGCTCGAACCAAGAGTTTATCACTGCTGAAGATATGCACCTCGTCCATTCAGCATGCAGTGCTGTGATTAATGATTAATGATTAATGATTAATGATTAATGATTAATGAAAGTCCAGCAGGGAGATGTTTGCAGTTTTTTGTGCTCTCAAGAGGCATTTGGTTAGCTTGTAGATCTTTTAGTAATATCTGGCGCCAGTCATTCCAAAATTCCGAAAGACTTGATAGCAGCAATTTGACCCATGCTTGGCTTGATACATCTTTGATAGATTGCACTAGAACATCTAGAACTCGCTTTGAGGAAATGGCTGGGAGTGGAGATCCGGCGATCCTTGCGAAAGGCACCAAGTGGTGTTTCAATTTCAACATTCACCATGGCCAACTTGTCAGCTGTGCTCAGGAGAAAGCAAGACAAATGGCTTTTCAGGACCGCTCCATTGACCCTGAAAGCACCGGGGTGCCTCCGTGTGGCAGCTTGCATTTCTTCGGCCAGGAGCAGCGACTGAAGGAGAGGCGATCGATCATCGATCCACAGAAGTCACTCGAGGCACTGAAGCAAAACTTGAAGAAAAGGTTTGGGGGATCACTGGTCCGAGCTTGGCGGCGAATGTTTGCCAACAGCCACTTGCTGAAAAAAACAGTGCTTCAAAGATGCAGTTCAATGTTCCAGACAGCAGTGTGTGCAAGGGCCAGTTGGCAGTGTATGAGTGGCTCCTGAAATCCAAGGAGAGACTTTGTCCATGCAAAAACCACAATTCATTAAGGCGTGTGCAGAGGTTGGCTGGCGGAAGGAGTCTTGGCTCATCTTGGTTTATCTCATCTAGATTCCTATCAAGTGAGGCTGCATCGTTTACAACCATTTATAGCAATTCTAGCTTCTCAATTTAATAGGGAATGGGAATGTTTTGAGATGTTCTGAGCCTCTGTTGGCTTCAGCAGTGATTGTCCCAATCAACATGTCTCATGCTGCACACTGCGCATCAAATGAGCATATTCCTCAAGGATGTGAGGGCCATGTGGTATCTCCTGGACAAGGACAACAACGGTTCTGTGACGCTGGAGGAGTTTGACTATGACAGTGCGCAGGACAGACCCTGTCACTGAATGCATGCCATTTGTCCATACCACCGAATGCATGCACCAACTTCTGAATGTTGCACCACTTCTTGCCATCTATTGACCCTTTTGCTTACAGACAAGGCACTGGCGAGATTTTCTAAATTCCTGTTCCAGAACTACAAGAGTGCGGAGCTTATCCAGCTTGCTGTTGCTCGTTGGGCTATGCTAGACTCCCCCCCACCCAAGCTCCCTCCCCACCCCCCTAGACCTCGATATGCAACTTTGATGCCTAACTCTCTCTGCATGAGTCCGTGTCCGACCCATTGGAACCAACTCATTTCACCAAGCCCACGCCGCCCAACTCATTCCACCCAAGTCACTCCACCCAAGCAACGCTACATAATACAACTCGACTTCCACATCGTCACCGTCACCCTTCCTCCATTTTCCTTTTGCATCTTCTGTGGCATTACTAGCTTTCTTTCACCACCCCCTGGGACTCAAGTGCCTGAGGAGCATCAGTTGATGGAGCTGGGTGGGCTCGTCCAGTGAAACACGCAACCCAGGGTCCGGAACTGTATTAGATAATGTTTGACACCTTTACTGTCAACCCTAATTGCAAGCCTCCGGGTGAAACTTTCTTGGGATGAAGAGCTTGTACTTGCTGCAATTCCCATGACATTTTGCCAGCATTTACATGCTTTTCTCCATTTTACCTGGCCGTGACATAGGGCCCTTGAGCGTCAGCTAGAAACCTTGCGGTGCGCATCCCGCTGTTGCCATTTGGGTGCTTGTGGGAATCCAGGCTCCACTACTTAGGTCTTAGGACCCCAAACCTTGTGAAGCAGGTTTACAAAGACCTCCAATTGCATTGGTAGCGTGCCATTGCGATCGACGTGCTCGCTCCACCGACCATGTCCGAGAGCGACGAGCACTCCGACCTCGAGGACCTCGAAGACTTCCTTGGCGAAGAGGTTGAAGAGGAGTACCTCGACGGTGACCAAGGAGAAGAAGATCCTCCTCAAGGAGAACTTCAAGCTCATGGACCTTCAGTGACTCCAACGCCGACATCACCTTTGCCGGTGACGCCTCAGAGACAGGGCAGAAATGGCCCTAGGACTTCACCTTCGGCACCATCAGCTGGTTCCAACTCAGGTGGCTCAGTTCAACGAGGTGACAGAGCAAAATCCGAGATGAAGTCAGAGAAGTCGTCTAGTTCTCAGAGGCGACCACGTGGAAACCTTCCAGCTGCACCGACTTTTGACGGTGACAGGCGCAAAGACCCGAAGTGCTTCAAGAAGTATGCCAACCGCGTGGATAGCTATGTGGCCATCGCGGAGAAGATCATCGACGATGGTGAGATTGGCTTGAGGCTTCATGCAGCCTTGGAGGGTGAGGCCGCTGACTTCTTGGAAGATGTGCCAGCGAGGGTCTTTGGTGAGAAGGATGGTTGGAGAGTACTTCTCAAAGTGCTCAAAGAGAAGTACGATGAGACAAGGATGTCAAAGGTTGGAAACGCTATGAAGTCTTTCTTCAGCATGCAGGTGAGCAGCGGCGACAAGGACAACAAGCCTTGCACTATGCGGGACATCATTGACAAGATGGACCAAGCTGCCCGAGCGTGCAAAGATGCAGGTCTGTCGATTCCAGACCCTGTGATGATCTACTTCTTCTTCGTCCACTCCAACTCTTCATCGGAGAGGCAGGCAAACCTTCTGCTGAGGACCAATGGAGAGTATGACTGGAGCAAGATCAAGCAAGCTGTGGAGCTGCTCTACCCCACGGTGGTGGTCAAGCAGGCCGACAATCGTGGACGACCTGGTCGAGGACGTGGAGCACACGAAGTTCAACAGCAGTCAGATGCCTGGTATGGCGATTGGCCTATGCCGGATGCATCTGATCAACAGTTTGGAGAGTGGCTTGAATACCACGACCCTGTCGAGACGGTCGCCGAGGCCTTCAGCTATGAGGAGGAGCAGGCAATCCCAGAAGGTCTTGCACGTGAACTTCATGGATGCTTTGCCAGTCACCGAGAGAACAGGCAGAAGCTTGCGAAAGCTGTCCAAGCCCGCGGATACTATGTCAAGGGCAAGGGCAAGAGCAAAGGTGGAAAAGACAGATCAAAAGGTGCAACCCCGAAAGGCAAAGGCCGTGGGAAAAGTGGGGGTAAAGCCCGTGGAATGAGTTTGGAAGAGCTCAAGAAGGTGACAACTTGTGCAGATTGCAATGAAACTGGACATTGGCGTGGTGATCCTGAGTGTCGTAAGTCCAATGTGGCAATCAAGGAAGAGCCGGAGGAGCACTACGACGACGACTATGACGTCGACGAGTGGTTCACTGGATGCTACGAGTACGACCCTCATGCAGCACAACACCAATGGTCTGGATGGACTGATGACTACAAACAGCAGGCCGACGAGAGATCTGCCCATGCCTTGCAGAGGACGAATCGTCGTCGATTCCTGGAGCCCAAGAAGGAGTTGGACTATGAAGCCTACGACGTCGCCAAGAACATCGTTGAGCTGAAGAACAAGGCCCGGAAGATTGAGAAGCCGCAGCGGTCTACTTCATACAGATCGTCTTCAACGACTTCCAACATCACGCGTTCCGAGGAGTTCCTTGCGGAGCAGGATGCCGGACCGGGGTCCAACTACGACTATGTCAAGTCCATCCTCAACGCTTCGAGATCTCAGCCTATGTCATCAGCAGGTGCGTCTGCTGTACGAGCTGCCCAAGTTGAATCCAACACTGGGCGCACTTTTGAAGAGCTTGGCTCAGTTTGGGCCCTTCTCAACGACTCCAAGGACAAGCCGGACATCGACAAGATGCGGGTGCGACAGGCCTACACCATGCGGAAGGTCGACTTCGACTTGACCGACGACGAGCTCATCGCCGACGAGAAGATGCCCAGGCTGTCTTTCAGCCTTTCGAGACGCAAGCCCACTGTTGAAGATGGTCGTGCTTACCTCACGATCGACACCGCCTGTGAGAACACAGTCGTTGGCAGTGGCTACATCGACAACTTGGTGAACAAGCTGAAGGACTACAACCTCATGCCCTTGCAGCAGCCCGAGAAGGAGCAGTACTGCTTTGGACCTGGGAAGCCACAGACCTCAACTACCAGGCTTTCCATCCCAGTTGGCATCGGTGGCAAACCTGCCATCATCCGAACCTCACTCATCAAGGAGGACAAGCTGACTGGTGGGAAAGGCCCCAATGGCATTCCTTTCCTCGCAGGACAAGATTGGCTGCTGATGATGAAAGCCGTCATCGACATTGGCAAGAACATGATCCAGCTGCCACTGCTGGATGTCCAGGTGCCGATCTCGCTTGACACCTCTGGCCATCTGGTGATCGCCATCGATGGGTACCCAGAAGATGGTTGGCCTCCAGGATTGACGACAACCGTCGACCAATATCCTGGAGCAGTTTTTGTGGCTGGTCGCAAACGCGATGCCATTGACGGTGACTTCACCGCAATTTGGGCCACCCTCGGACTGAGGATTTTGTCCGAGCATTGGTGCAACACGGTCGCATGGACCCTGAATGCATCAACTTAGCCAAGAGGCTGAAGTGCGCAACATGTGAAAGGACGAGAAGACCTTTGCCGCCGAGACCTACGAGTTTGAAGGCGACGGGGTGCTTCAACGACAAGGTCTGCATGGACTTCGTCTTCTTGCACGACATCAACGGCATCAAGCACACGTACTTGCACATCTTGGACCCAGCTGGTGGCTACAATTTGTTTGCCTGGTCACCATCGAGATCCCCTGACGACGTCTTGAAGATTTTCCACAGCTCCTGGGCACAGTGGGCCGGATATCCAAGACGGATCCTTCTCGACCAAGATGGCGGTTTTGAAGGAACCTTTGCCGAGATGATCGGACGAGTCTCAGAACTGGACTACAGTGCAGCCGAAGCCCATTGGCAGAACGGAGAAGTAGAGAGCTTCAACAAAGCTTTTCGATTTGCTGCCGAGCGCATCATCGATGAACGACAGCTTGCTGGACAAGATGAGATGCAGACACTTGGCATCATTGTCTCAGCAGCCATGAACGACAAGGTGCGGACTTCAGGGGCCAGTGCAAATCAGTGGCTTTTTGGAAAGAGTCCGCAGATGCCTTTCGACTTACTGGACCGCGAGGGGCAAATCGAAGCTCTACAAGGACAAGAACCAGATGAAGAACTTCGGCTACGGCAGCACATCAGAGCACAAGCAGATATGCTCATTTCCCAGTACAAGATCGACCATGCACTCCGCACAGCTGTCAACAGGAAGGGCCGACCTTCACGGCTTACCTATGAACCTGGAGAGCTAGTGGCTTTCTGGAGAAACGTGAAGAGGAAGAAAGGCAAACTTCTACAACCTGGATGGTACCGAGGCACCATTATAGGACCTCATCGTGGCACCGAAGAGGGCAACCAGAGCAACTACTGGGTGTCTTCAAACGGAAGACTCATCCTCGTGTCCAAGGAGCAGCTCAGACCTACATACGGTACGGAGCGTTGGCGCATTGAGGAGGAGGACCTTCAGAACTACCTGGAGGACGACCACGACTTCTACGAGGACGAGACTGGCGATGGTCCGCCAGATGACGATGATGATGCTTCAGCAAGAGCAGATTTGGAGATGGTGGTTCCCCCGCTCATGGACGAGGAGTACACACCAACTACACCGATCGATACGCCTCGAGAAGATCCAGAAGTTCCAGAAGTTCCAGCCGTTCAAGAAGGACCAGACGAGATGGATGTGGCTATCAATCTGAAGGTGCCTTCGACACCAAGCGATGGAACTCAACCTCACCCAGATTCACCACTAGCAGCGAGAGCAAGCAGAGCACCAGGCACTCCAGTTGCTGGACTACTACAACGAAAACATCCAGAACGAGTGACACCTCCCCGCTCATTGGAGTCGGAACCTTTTCCAAAACGACCAAAGACAGATGAACAACCTGACGGAAGTCAACGTGAGGCGATGGTGAACAACACCTACGTGCCGCAGTACCACTACGAGAAGCTCGCCATACCGAGCTCAAGCGTCTTCATGACCAGGAAAGACCAGAAGGCCTTGGAGAAAGAGGTCCCGTGGTCAATGATCCCAGATGAGCAGAAGCCAGGCTACAGAGATGCCCTGGCAAAGGAATGGGATACATGGCTGAAATATGAAGCCGTGGTGGTGCTGAACAACGAGGCGTCCAACTACGTCTCCCAGAACGTGGACTCCTCTCGCATCCTCAACACCAGAGTTTGCTACAGGAATAAGAACGCCGCGTTCCCTTGGATGCCCATTAAGTACAAGGCAAGAATCGTCTGCAGAGGCGACATGGATCCAGACCTCTTGTCGCTGCGCAGAGATGCACCTACGTTGGCAAGATTGTCGCTGATGGTGATTTTGCAGATTGCCATATCGATGGCCGACTGGTTCATGTTCAACGCGGACATCACAGGAGCCTTTCTCCAAGGAGATCAGTCTTAGGCCAGTCGAAAAGAACCACTTTACCTTCGACAGCCTCGAGAAGGACTTCCTGGACTTTTCCGAGACCAACTTTTGCTGGTGGTTCGTGGAATCTTTGGCTTGGCAAATTCTCCACGCCTATTTTGGCGACATCTCAGAGATACTCTACTTCAGCTTGGCTTTGTGCAGTCCACTTTGGACAAGGCCTTGTTTTTCTACTACCAGGACAACAAGCTGATCCTGGCAGTTGGCGCACACGTCGACGATTTGATCGGCACAGGGAAACCTGGCGAAGCGGACAAAGTCCTCAAGAAGCTTCGCGACATCTTCGACTTCGGCGCTTGGGCTGATGATAGAGAAGATAAGATTTTGGAATATGGTGGAAAGCAGATCACGAGACAGAATGGCGTGATCAAGCTGGCCCAGACGAAGTTCATCCAAGCAACTTCGGTGACTCCAGTGCCAAAGTGGAGGACAGCTACACCGGGAGCTTCTTTGATGCCTTCCGAGCTGACCGAACTTCGCAGTGTTGGTGGTTGCCTACACTGGCTGGTGGGGCAGACACGTCCTGACCTTGCAGCTGGGACATCGCTTTACATGTCCGGCCAACCGACCATCAACAACTTGGTCAACCTCAACCGCCTGCTCAAAGAAGCCAAGGGCAGCGAAGATTGGGGCCTGACTTTTCGAAAGATCGACCTCGAGGATGCCAAGATCCTGGTCTACTCTGACAGCAGCTGGGCAAATGCAGACCAACTCAAGTCGCAAGCTGGCTTTATGGTCTTCATTGCTGGTGGCAACATCGACTCCTATGAGGGCGACGCCGTCACACTCTTGGATTGGAGATCCCACCGGATCAAAAGACAGTGCAGAAGCACCCTCGCAGCTGAGACCATGGCGATGGACTCCGCTGTGGACGCTGGAATCTTTTGCCGAGAGCTTTTTGCAGAAGCTTTGATCCAGGACTATGTGCCCACTACGTCCGGGAGATTGCCAACAAGCTTCATGGCCGTGCTGGCGGTGACCGACTGCCGCAGCCTCTATGACTTGCTGGTGAAGGATGGCGCACCTTCAACGACGCAAGAGAAGCGGCTGACGATCGACATCAGTGGCTTGAAGGAGATAGCAACTGAGTTCGACCCCGAAGGGGAACAGCTCAAGGAAGTTTTTCGTTGGGTGGCCACGGAAAGCCAAGTCGCCGACCATCTGACGAAGGTAAAACCTTCCCATTTGCTACGTGCCATCTTGGAATACGGATGGCTGAAACTGAGAAGGATCGAATCTTCGATTCTTACCAATTTAAGATTTTGGGGAGTGCAATTCCCATGACATTTTGCCAGCATTTACATGCTTTTCTCCATTTTACCTGGCCGTGACATAGGGCCCTTGAGCGTCAGCTAGAAACCTTGCGGTGCGCATCCCGCTGTTGCCATTTGGGTGCTTGTGGGAATCCAGGCTCCACTACTTAGGTCTTAGGACCCCAAACCTTGTGAAGCAGGTTTACAAAGACCTCCAATTGCACTTGCAAGACGCGTTTGCGAAAAGGGACCGGGGACAATGAAGGCCACCTCACAAGACTCACAAGACTGACCCTGAGAGAAACCACTTGTTCCTACTGGGGAACCCCAGGGCAGGGCGGTTGCACAGGGTGGCACTTGTGGATTCATGTGCAGCTGAGGGAGCTTGTTTTCGGTGCTGCCACATTCACTTTTAGTTTGCCATGGCAGCTGTCCTCCAGAGGTGTCGAAAAGGCCTTTCGCATGCTGGATGTAGATGGCAATTTGTATGTTCCAAGGGAAGAGCGCCCTGACTGCACATTAGGCCCCTGACAAATTGAGAACCAGCCGCAGCTGCCCTGTGCATGTGCATTGTGCATACTGTCCACATCCGTCCACAGGTTCATTGCAGCAGCTGGGAGAATGGGCTTTGAACACACAGCTGCAACTCTGTTCTCAGCATTCGACCTCGGCCAAGCTGGGAAGATTTTTGAGGAGGAGATCTTCTGGGGCCCTAAATTTTGTGACAGGGAGAGAAATTTCACCGGGTCAAGCACCCACTTTCTCAGCGACACTCAGGACATGAAGTTTCTCGACAGTCCACTGGAGTGTGAAGCTTTAGATCTTCTTGGTCACCTTCTGATGTTCGCCCGGAGTTTCGGAAACATGAAACATGTTCGAACGATCTGCCCCTGCGATGTTGTATGATGTTGTATGATGTTAGGTGCCTCTTCAATCAGCAGTTCTTAAGTGCATGAGCAGTTGCAGGTGGAAGCCCCGTGCATTTCTGACAGCAGATCCAAATGAAGCTGCGGCCAACCAAGCCTTTATCCTAGCCTTGGTAGAAAATGGCAACACGTCTTGTCAAAGTCTGGCCACGGCGTGTGACTCGATTGTGGCACTGCAGACTCCAAGGTGAAAGCCAGGCCCACACCTCGGACAAATGGTGTAATACAGGAACAAGCTCCACTTCAGCACACAGATCTCCATTCACTTCAGTGCCAGGCTGCTGAAAAAGCATGGCACCTACTTGCGTGCGTGGAAGGTCAGCTTGGACAGAGACGGTGATGGTCTGAGAACCACTGTGTCCGGAGAGCAAGGCTGAGCTAGCAAACCAGAATATACGCAGACGATACACCATCTCAAATATCTCAAACCAGTACACACACATATATTATATATATATATGTTGTTACTTCAGTTTCTGGCGCCGAGGTGACAACAGATGCACTTGGGACGAGTTTCGGGATGCATGCAGAGAAGTTGGGTACACCGAGGATGTTCCAGGCGCAACTCATCCGTGCACACCGCTCTCAGAAAGCTTAGCGCAAGAGTGCAGGTGCTTGGTGCACTTTGGACTTCCGTCGGGCAGGAGCGAATAGTTCCTTACACTCCTTGAAATTGATCGAATTGAAGTGAATTGAATATTGGATGCAACGTGGTTCCTTTGCCTGGGACCCCAAAGCGAAACATTCAAAAAACAACAGGCTGTCGTTCGGGGATATTCCTAGCACATCAGGGAGATAGGCGTACTTAAAACGAGGTACCAATGGAACCATAAATGTGTTTATTCTTCCTCTTAAACCATCCAATCTTTGGGGTAATTAAATCAGGTTAACACCCCCTCTGCTGACTAGTCATGATGAGCTTCCGCACCTAGAAGCGTACCTTACAAACGGGATAACTTACGTAGGGCAAACTAACATAGATGTGGAAAACCCATGGCGCACAATGGTCTAGAATCTAGAAATGGATAGAAATGGTGGGTTTTCCGCATCTATGTTGACTCACAAAAGGATTTTCGGACTTAGAAATCTTAGAATTTGTTTGATCATCATTCTGCTTACTTTCCCCCGGTTATAGTAAATAGGTACGGGTCAAGACTATCACAGTCAGCAGGCTTCCAGTTTGATGTTGGAAGTGGGGATACCCTCCAGTAATCAAACATGACAATGGAAAATCCACCAGGTATAGGCATTTATAGGCATGACAACCTCTATATATTTATAGGGGATTTTCCATTGCAAACATGCGCTTTATCCAGATCCAACATGATGTTTTTTTTTGGTGGGTTACTGATCTTTGATCCTAGAAATCTGCAGTGGCATGAATAACGCTGACTCCGGACTTCTGATGGAACCGCTCTTTCAGGGACCAGTGGAACCTTGGGTATAAGAGATGCATATTGACCATAGTATCATTTCCATCCACGTTCCACGATTGTTGAATGATGGCCGCTCCTTTTAACAGTTCTCTAAACATTTGGGTGTGTCTGAAAATGGGGGATGCTAGTAAAATGGCAATGTCATCAGAAACATATTGTGCTAAACCAGTGCCCTTTAAGGGCACCGATGGTTGTTGCAGCCAACAGGCGTTCTGTTCGCAACCTGAAAACACCGCCATGGAGGTGCACTTCCTTGAGTCGGCCGAGATGCTGACGACTCTTGATCCAGATGACTTCGATGGGAAAATTGCCAGAAAAGTGAAGCAAACTTTGGCAGCTCATCTTGGGGTCTCCAGATTTTGGCAAAGACTCTTTGCGGAAGATGATTTTCGCGAAATTCAAGATGATGAGGTTTTTGGATCGTCTCCCATGAAAGTCCAATTAGTAATGTTGGAGTTCTTGCCACCGGATGCTGAAGAGGACAAAACGCACTTCTGCATGCCGGAAAAACAAGTTACGCCGCATGGAACAGTTTCTTCAATGTCCTCGAAATCCGAACCCGAGAGGTCAGCATTTGCAACTATTTTACGCTCCCAAAAGTGGTAAGACAAGGATGACACTGTTTTTCTTGTGTGTTGTTTCTTTCCAGTTTTGACCTGTGAAGCCCAAAACGCCAGGGTGAAATGGCTTGCAGGTGAAAATGCAGAGACATCATGAGACATCTATTCAGCCCCTGCACCATGCAGCAGTGAGGGGATATGTCGAAGCCATGCGCCTACTGCTTGAGGCATCAGAGAGGGGATGTCCCCAATGCATTTAGCAGGGTCAAGCGGTCATCTTGACGCCGTCCGCTTTCTGGTTGAAGTTGGGGTCAACAAGGATCAGCTGACCACGGATAATGGGTCAACGCCACTCCATTATGCAGCTGAAGGAGGCCATCTTGACATTGTCTGCTTTTTGATTGAGCCCAGAAGGATCAGCCGACAACTGATAATGGGTCAACACCTTCGCAGCTTGCGGCAGAAGAGGGCCACCTTGCTGTTGTATGTTTGCTGATTGAGTTTGGTGCGGACTTTGACAGAACCACCCACAGTGGAGCAACCCTTAGATGTGGCAAGGGAATCTGGCCATGGGGCAGTTGTTGGCTTCCTCACATCACTTATATATATAGGCCAAAGAGCCCCCCAGGAAGATTCGGAGAAGAGACATGCAGTGACACGCATTCAGAAATTTCGAGAACACGCAGGTGAAGTCTGGCGAACGGGGATCCACTGAGGGTTGAGGTACGTACATATGGCCGTGTTCTTTATTCTTAGAGTGCCATATTCGTGATCGCTTAATGATTGCTGCAAGGTCAACTGGTGGATTAGATGGTCATCCCAGCGACTATTCTGGAGGTTGTCCTAGGAGTAAAACGGACTCCCATCATCTCTTTTCCCATTGAAATTGCCAATCAGGGTCTCGTAGGCCGTCAGTCAAGTCCAATTTCCTGGTTGCTGAAACCTGCAGGTTTGACCAGACTTTAGGGTAAAAATCCAGGTGCTTTCGTTTTTTTATAATGGCCAGCTGGTACTACCTGTAGCATTGAGGCATGGAAATGGGGACTTAGACTTGGCTTTTGCATGGGAATAAACCTCGTCCATAAAGGGATAAACATGGTGGAGTCTGTATTGTTAGATTGCCAGAGGATAAATGAAGCGTCATCCCTTCATCAACTGATGGTTCCATAATGCCATAGGTATCAGATGGTATCTTTTTTTTTCCTAATTTTTATTTTAAAAATGTGGTTTTGACTCATGGGGTACCAATTGGTCCATCAGTTTTTTTGAGGAATGGGATGCACAGAATATACTTTGAGCCGTCCCTCTATTGCTATAGTAAAGTGCTGTTGGCCAATTCCCATCTTCAGATTGGCTTAGACCCATTGCTCTCAAGGAGCCCTCACTCTTCAAGACGTCGATCCAACTGCTGGAGAAGCTCTTGTAGAATTTCGTGATTGGGCGGTCGAGCAATTTGGCAGTGTGTGCAACTGAGAATGACAAATAGATACAACTACTAAATACCAGGATTACATGTCAGTATATCGAGTTGTCGGCAGCTTCTCAAATCAGATGCTTCATTGGCCACCGAAGGAACGTTTTGACCCACGAAACTCTGTAGACTTTGCCAGAACCTCCGCCGTGCCAGCCAATTGAGAGCTGCCCATGTTGAGGTTAAAAGTTGCTTCACCGTTTTGGACGATGATGGTTCAAACGAAGTGACGCCTTTCGAGTTCAAACAGCTGGTTTCTCAGTCAGCAGATGTCACCAGAACTTACATCACAAGTTGCTGATCTACATTGCTGAGGGCATGCCGAGCCTATGGTTTCCCTGGGCCTGCCAAGCTAGTGTTCAAGGCCTGACCTCTGATTGTGTAATTGTTCTGAAACCGTAGTTTGAGTTTCTTGTGCATATCTGCATATCATCTCCGTCTTTTGAGGCCTTGGATACAACAAACAAGGGGATGCTATCCTCTGATGATGTGGGCTTTCTGGATGATTGGTGCAAGAGGTGCCGAGCTTCACATCAGATAACGTGGAATCCTGTGCTCAGCGTCGATCCAGGGCTGCGGAAACTGGACCACCCGAATCTTCGTTGATGCCTCAGCTTCCCTCAGCTTCCCTCAGCTTCCCTCAGCTTCCCTCAGCTTCCCTCAGCTTCCGACGTGCAACGGCATGTTAAAGTTGGGATAGCGCACAATGCGCACACATATGCAGCATGCACGTGTTCCTTTAGAATCCTTGGGACTTGATATGTGTATGCATGCATATGTACAGAGTTCGACATCGCATTTTCATTTGCTGTTATTTAATTTGCTTTATGTTGTTGGCTATCCATTTCAGCTGTCCAGATTGTGCACCCCAATATCGATCGAAAACGTCGAGCTATCTATTTTGCTGGTTGTGAGGATAGAGGATGGCGGAGAAGATGCCTCACCCAAGTCTTCTGTCTCCAAAAGGTCTTCTGCATCCCCAATGAGACTCATGAGCAAGCAGTCCCTGCGATCAATCCCAGTCTGCCTGGCGTTTTGACAATATGGGAGTTGAACAATTGAGGGCAGATGAGAGTGAGGAAGCTCAGCAGCCACAACAAGTTGCGAAGACCAGTTGGAGAGAAGGGAAAGAAAACTCACTGAAAGAGAACTCTCCGAATGATGAAAGAAAGCTGACTGAATGATGAAAGAAAACTGGCTGAATGATGAAAGAAGCAGAAATAGTAGCAGTATTTGAACTTCAAGGGTGAGGACACATATTCCATCATATTCGGCCAATCAGTGTTGTGATCACAGGCAGGCGTGCATCAAATTTGGAGTGTTCAGCCTGCCAGGATGAAGCATGGAATGAGCCAGACTGGCAGGAAGGCCAGGATCCTTCGCCTTCATGATTCCCAGAATTGTTCCGTATATACTTGGGTATAAACATGTGAAAAACCAAGGTTTCCTGCGGATTGCCTCCATCTGATAGTCAAACATGGCATTGGACGGTTTCCCATTTATAGATAGTTAATTACAATTAATCACATGTATATATTGGATTTCACAGCCAGCGATGTTTGACTACCAAAGGGTACATGGCTGGGCGAGAAGCTTCCCAGATCATGCAGGAAGTCTGCATCCCGCATTTCGAGTATGGGCCAACAGGAAGCGAAAGATGCCGATAAGGACTGCATGATGCTGGATCTCGTTCATCAAATGTCATGATATAACTGTGTTAAGTTATTCCATAGGCAAGTATGTGAGTATCATATTGTTGGTGCTTGTAGTTAGTTCTCAGCCTCAGCAGTTCTCATTGGTTTGTATAGCGTTAGACTTCACTGCAGCCTGAAAGCAGAGCGACGCGCAGGAAGCTAGACGGAAGTCTGCCTCCTTTGGTCACACAGGACCGGGACATACCAGCTGTACATGATACAGCGGCCAAAAGACCAGAGACACATCAGGTTCCAACGACTGTTGCAGGTTGACCTTGGCGATCCTCATTTGGTCAAGAGGCAACGACCTGGCAAGACTTTGAGCATTGAATGGCATCATTTTGGTCAGACACTGCATGACACTGCATTGGTATTAGCAGGCAAATCGAGATAATGGGCTTTGGTCAGGTTTACTTCTCTGCATTGCGCGCCCATGCCTCTGCAGCTGTTTTAAGTTTGAAAGTCTTCTGACATCGGCATGGTAAAGATGCCTGGCCCGGACCCGATTTCACCGCTCGGAAGAGCCAAGGCTGATGAGGATCATGATTTGCCAACCACCAGCCGGATGCAGTCCTTGCTGATGGAGCAGGAAGCTCGAATCAAATTGCATTTTGATCAGGCAATTGAAAAGCTCCTGGTTTCACAAGTTGGCATCCTGGACCCCGTCGTCCGAACGCCATCACAGAGATCACAGAGCCAAACGCCGCGCAGACGCAACCAAAATGTTCAAAACAGCCAGTACAAAGCTGGTGCAGTTCCCACCTATGTGCGCAAAATGGTAGAAGGTACCGTCAAGAGCAGTGTTGGCCTTGGAAATTCCAACTTGCGGTCTGGCAGCTTAGCCAACAGCTGGTCATCGGAACAGCAGCATCTGCTCCGACAAAGGATTTGGCTCGCATATGACATGTTCACCATGTTTGTGATTTTCCTATACGCATGTATCATGGGTGTGAACCTTCAGATCACAACGCTGCATTCAAAAGAGCCAGACTGGACCAACGGGGTGGAGCTTGTCTTTTGTGCCTTGTTTTCAGTCGACCTAGTGGTGCGGATCGTTGTTGAGAGGTTCGACTTCTTCAGAGGGCCAATGAAATGGTGGAACTTCCTGGACAGCGTCCTGGTTTCCATGATGATCGCTTCACAGGTCACCCAAGCCACGCTCATTTCCAGCTTTTCTGGCCTGCGTGTTCTCCGCTTGCTTCGGGTCTTGAGGATCATGCGCTTAGCCAAGTATTTCGCCCGATGGCCGCAGTTCAGGCAAGTGCGGATCCTGTTGGCATCCATTGCCGAGAGTTTGAAGATGATGATCTGGTTGCTGCTCATTGCTTTCAGCATCATCTATGTCTTTAGCCTGGTGATCACGGAGGGTGTTTGGCAAAGCTGTGAAGATGTTGGAGCCGAGAAAGTGGATCTGCTTTGCAGGAAGTTTGGCACCTTGTCAGGGTCGATGATCACCTTGTATCAGATTCTCTACAATGGTGTCCTATGGGGTGACCTTTGGGATGAGATGATTGGCTGGAGCTGGTTCTTCCTGACAGCTTACTTGGTATATGTTGCCTTCTCCGTGGTGATTTTGGGAAATATGATGGCAAGCTTTCTTTTCAGTTTGCAGGAGAAGGTCAGCAAGAAAGAAAAAGAAAATATGATCCAATCAGAAATTGAGTCGAAAGAAGAGTTTGTGAAGCAGATGAATTCTGTCTTCTGTGAGTTTGATGCAAATGGAAATGGTGCAATCAGCTGGACAGAGTTTCAGATTGCATTGGAAGACCCACGGATGCACGCTTTCTTGTCATCATTGGAGCTTGACATCTCTGATGCAATTGGCTTATTCTCAGTCTTGGACTCAGATGGGACTGGTGCTATCGAGCATTCGGAATTCCTTTTTGGTTGCTTGCGCCTCAGGGGTGGTGCAAAGGCTGTTGACATGGTGAGGGTTCAGATGGAGCAGGAGTGGGTGCACAATGCTATGATCAACATGAAAACCATGATGCAGGAGATCATGAAGCTGACTCAGCTGTCAGCTGTCTCCAAGAGCAAGGGCACAGAGCCTGTTCGATTGGAAGCTGGTGCAAGTGAGATATCCTTCCCAGAAGTGTCTGAGATTGTGGGAGGAACTTCCCAAATCCTCCCGTACTATTATGATGACCTTCGTGCTGAAGAATACCGGACTGAGCTGCTGTCAGAAGAGCGGGCAGTGACTCTTCAGGAACTAAAACGCATCTCTTCTGATGCGCTTCTTGCAAGCCGACATGGCTGGGATGATCCTCGGACAGGCGCCAGGATTTCAAGCAACGAGTTGAATTTGTACCACTTCAGCTACTACCACATTCTGCCAAAGACAGCCCCACGGCAAGGTATTCTTCTGCAAGTGCAGCCTCTCTCTCCTGCCTCTCCAATCTCCAGTTGGAGGGCGTTGTGTGGCCAGCAGATCCTCCAAGGACGAGCAGATTTGCCAAGTGGTGTCGGCACCATTCTACGAGCCCACCACGAAGCTGATGGTTCGGTGACGATTTGCGTGTCCTTGAAACAAGGCCGTTTCAGCAGCAATGAGGAGCTTGGAAACATCATGCTTGGAGATATGGAGCTTGGCAAAGTCTTAAGGATTGACTCCCATGACTCCTTCAGCTACAAGGAGTACTTGTCCTCGGCACCGTGCTTGCCAGCATGGTATTGTTGGGCACTCAGTTGCTTTGCGACATATGCATCACCGAATATCTTAGGATGTCTCTGTCGCCTTCGCTAACTCTGATTTTTTGATGTTTCTGCAGGTTCACACTGGTGGGGCGAGCCGATTGTCTCCTTTGTCAACTGTTGCCAGAAGCATTCCTCTTTGCGTCGTTTGAATGATGCATCAGCAAACTACTGGGTTTGTGGCTATGCCAATCGTCAGCATGAGCTTGAGCTAGAGATTGGGCGGGACATCACGGAGTCATCCTTCTACAAAGCTCTAAATGTGGCAGACGGGTTGCTGCTCATCCTTGACCAAGATGCAACACCCTTCTCCAGGATTTGGTGTGACTATGAACTCTATGCTTCAATCACAGCCCCAGACAAGATGCTGGACATTGTTACCATGGCTCAGCTACCCGGCAAGAGCCAAGCTGGAGCTCAGATGCTGAGTAAAAGCCCACTGCCAGGGGAATCTGCAGTTGCGAAGTCAGTCCGTGAACAAAGCTTCCCCCTATCCCTACTGCTGCAGGGTTTGCAAGTCTGTTTGGAGAAGGGAGAAGCGACCATCCAAAAGGATAAAGATGGCATCCTCTTTGAAATGGGAAGCCATGCAGACCTCACCACTGGTGCGGGTCAAGAGCTGCTACAACAGAATCTGAAACGCGCCAATGATGCGCTCCACTCCACATTTGCCATTCTTGCCTGGCCTCAAGCCATGCAACGTGGAACTCTGTTGGACTTCGGAAAGAATGCCAAGGGGTCAGTGTTGGGGAAGCAGAAGTTGAAACTGCCGGAGATCCTTGCAATGGATGATGCACGGGAGGTGTTGGAGCTCAGCCTAGCCCACTTCGAGGACTGGATGCCTATGGTTGCGGACATTGAGACACATGTGAGACCATGCGGATCTACACGCACATGTGCCGAGATAGGGTCATGACATGACGAATCTGTGTTTTACACGGGCATACGGCATACGCTATAAAGTTATGGTGAAGCAACCCATTCCCCCTCTAGATTAAATAAACTTAAACAAGCCGTTGGCTGTTGTGTTAAGCCGGGACAGTAATCTGATTGAGCAAGAAAGCCCAAAGAAACATACACAACTCGGTAGTGCTATTTGGTTCCTATGAATATCAATGTCGTGAATTATCAGCACATTCTAAACAAGCGCATCATGTTCAATGTACTAAGATCGGTCAAACGGTGGGCGCAATTTCCTTTTCATGGCCCAGGACACCTGCTTGGATTCTGCTGTGAAGATTTTGGCTTCGGGCCTGCCCAGTCGGGGGCTGAAAGACTTGCGACTGAGCTTTGAAGGCTGCAACCGGATCACAGATCAAAGTTTGACAGCTCTTGGGCCTCTTGGCTGCACTGAATTGCTTCAGTTAAGCTTCCGCATTTTAACAGTTCAGCAATTTGAAGGCAAGGGTTTGCTACTCTTTTGCACATCTGCATATTATTATCTTGTGCTTTTGGTGCTAGCCGAGGTCACACTTTTGCCAGGGGCTGCGCAAGTTGTACTTGGACTTCATTGGCTGCGTGAAACTCACAGACACCGGCCTATCAGCCATTGCAGCAGGTTTGCCTTCAAGCTTGGAGGATCTGGAGCTGCACTTTGCTGGGTGCTCCGGAATTACTTCCTCCGGGCTTGGAGTACTTCGAGACAGGATGCCGAAAAGTGTGCAGACATTCTGTGGAACTTTTAAGGGCACAGGCATAAGCCGCAACTTTCCCAATCTGGAGGAATTTCTTGCCTTCACAGGATGAGCAAGCAGGTGCCTCTTGAGAGCCGAGAATGGTTGGCACTCTGTGCCTGTTGTCAGAAGCTGTACAGTGAGTGGCTCGTGATGAAAGTAGTTGGGTCTCACTTGGCATTGTGCCCCACTCATCCAGCCCTGGGAATGATATTGTGTTATTCACATTTATTCACTGGTTTGGCAGGGTATAAAAAATATAGCACGTGCAAAGGGCTCGAGGTGGGTGCTTTCACTCTGCAAAGCAGGTGACGCTTGTAGCACAGGCCAAGGCTGCGTAGGTTTAAAAAATGGAAAAGGTGCATCATCTTGTGTCTTTCTTGAGCTATAAATGCTACACAGAGTGGCTGCATGGAGACCTGGATGGAAATGGCAGGAAGGACCCTATCACAGCCTATCACATCGGATTAAGTCTGTCAGGCCGATTCTCTTGCTTGCACCGGTGCCTGTACGTGTCCAAGTTCCAATGGGTGAGGCAAGTTGGATGATAGGTCAAGGTGGTAGATCCATGCCTGACAGTAGTGACAATCATTTGATGTGATGAGATGTTCTGACTTTTGTTGGAATCCATTAGCTTCGTCAGGCAGAGCCGAAGAGGACTGTATGGTTGCTGTCATCTATGGGCATAGTCATAGTGACAGCAGGTTCAAAGTCTGAGCACAAACTTGCCTTGAAGTCAAAGTCAAAGCTTCGCTTGACCACAATGTTTCCCACAATTTTGGATCCGTGCCAGGATACAGAAGAAAAAGTTGCGCCCCCAGCATCAAGTCATGTTCCCCTTGGCCTTTTCCATCCTTTTTCACAGTCAATAGCTGACAAGTGGTCCCTCCACACTGTACTGCTGCCATGTGAGGCCCGGCCTCGATACCTTGTTGAACTTCAGAAGTCCCCGAATCGACAGGTTCGCAGCCTCCAAGTGCGCCCTTGGGCCCTCTGTTTGAAGCCACGATTTTGTTGAATCAAGGTCCTACAGGCGGCTCTGATGCACAGAATGATGGAGAGGAATTTGTCCGCCGAATGGCGGCTGTTTGCAAATTAGCGTGCACGCTCGGGCTATGTGATACTATTTGAATGTATATAGCCGGCTGAGCAATTAGATGCCCCAAAGAAGACATATAATAATAATATAGATACAAGGGCGCCAACTTCGATCACAGTTGCGTACGGTTGCCATCAAAATTTACCAGCTCAGCGAAGGATCTCTCCATTGGAGTTTGGCAAGCTCTGCGAAGTGCAGTGCGTGCTGTACAGTTATTACTCTTTTTTTGGATCTTTTTGGCATTGAATGGCAGATGAATCTGTCAATTATGTGCCATATGGTGCCATTGGTGCAGCCATAGGCGATAATGTATGACGTTGGTGTATGAAAATTATCTCCCACGTTGAACCGTAGCAGATTCCAGCCTTTCTGTCCTTGAAGGACGTTGGCTTTGATTTGCCTACAGGAATCGTGTTCACGATAAGAGGGTCCATGACGTGACTCCTGCAACGCCAAACGGAATTTAGACTGCGAAATTGGAAAAACTCATTCGAAGATATGCGAAACATGCATAACTCTAGAATACTTTAGATACCTTTGTGGCTGAACTGTGCTGTGGGACTGCTCAACGGGGACAATCAGGGACTGTTCGGCTGCGGAATGCTCTTGATGCAGGTCTCCAGATGATACTGCAGATGACATTGACCACCTCACATTTTTAGGAGTTGTCCTGAGACTGGATGTCAGATGACCTTTTTCCTTACTGCTGGGGTGTCTTGAGTATCAGAACTCCACCCTCAGGCTCTGCCCTCTTCACGCGTCGAGCCCTTCCCTCAAAGTCTAAGTCGGCACACTGATGGTTTTTTGAAGGCTCGTTGTCTTCCAAGGTATCAGGACCTCGCGTAGTCTTGTGCATCCCGAAGTGTTGACCTCGATTGCAAGCTCGTTGCCATGCTGCCACTCAACTTTCCATATCTTTCCATTTGTGTTCAGACCGGGATCACCAGCTGAAGAGGTACCCCAAGAGGCGGCACGAGTCACTTCTGAGATTTTTTGGGCAGTCCATGGTGTGATAGCAATCGGTCAGGGCGAGGCACCAGCGCAGACCATTAAGGCCTGGCGGATTTGCCGTTTTTTTTCAGTGCTGGGCTTGATTCAGAGTTGAGAGCCTGTGCAGGTGAAGGGCAAATACCAGAAGGTCCACGGGCGGTAACCAGACTAGACGCCAGAAAGTAGCACAACAAGGTGAAGAGAGCAGAAGGTCGGAACAATCACAGTATATATACATGTATCCGTATATGTAGTATATCATTATATCATAGTGTGTATTTATTCTGAGTTCGTTGACTTCCGAAGTAAAAGTACGTAAAAGTACCGGCTGTAAATACACAGCATTTTAAGGCATTTTACCTCAATCACACCATTTGGATCTTTTGAAATACCAATAGTCTTTGAACAGCCTATAGGCCACTGGTGGGTAGGAGCCGCTTTGAGGGTTTACATGGCTGCTTAAGGGCTCAAGACATGACCACCTGCCCGTTCCCAGCAAACTAGAGTATGTGCAGATTTTGGGAGATGACGTTGTTACGTTCCAATGACATGCTGACCCGCGTCTGGGCATTGAATCTTGTTTTTGGATGGTTTTTGGATCGCTCCGTTCCCAGGTGATAGATGGCACACCCTTTGAGTGCTACGGAGCGCACACCGACGTCTGCCGTGCGAGACTTCCAGTGTTGCGAGACTGCGGGCACATGGAAAGAGACTTTTCTATCCATAACCTTTCCTACACTCGGATCGCTTTTCCAACTTTCAGTTTTCACGTTTGATTTCGGCCAGTCCTATCCCTGCTGCTACCTGACTGCTGCCTGCGCCATTGGCCAGAAGCTAAGCATATCAAAAAGAAGCGCTTCGGGGGTGTTGTGCTCAATTTCATCGCTCTTGCAGGTGCCACTCGCAAAGAGCGCGGCTGGCTATGTTCAGGGCAAATGCACTTCAGATATCTTCAGATGGATCATGATGGATTCTTGTCCCACATCCAGTTTTGATCAGTTCAGGGGGTTGCTCTGTGCCAGCGTTCATTGTCCAACAAGGCACGTTGCCCATCTTTCCCTGCCAGGATGGATGCCTTCGTGGAGCGACTGGAGTCTGCAGTGCAGGTCAAGTCATGTCACATATGCACGCACACAAAGATATCAAGACACAGATTTTATGCATTATGATGGCATATTTTGGGATAGTACTAGCATTCTTATCATTCTTGAAAGTATGATGCATGGATTGCACCGCTGCTGGGTGCCAGGAGTACAAGAATGGCGCCGGAAGGAAAGACAAAAAGGGAAAGTCAGTACCTTAGGGCCTTAGGGGACATTTTTTACACGTTGCCAACAGCCGTCAGCAGCTGCGATCCATTGAAAGATTTGAAAGAAGGCCAACCCTGGGAAGCTGAGAGCCACAGCTGAAGAGGAGCCCAGCAACATGAAGATCCTCGGAGGGAGATGGAATCTTTGGCGCATATTGTGGTCCCGGAAGCAGAAAGGCGAACAGGTTTCACAGGTAGAGCGCGTGATTCTTGCCAGTGAAAACATCTGAAAGCATGCTTTGGACTCTTGCAGGATGGCTGATGAGATAGCGCAAGGATCTTTCCACTCTGTGTGCACGTGCAGAAAATAGAGCGATTGATATGAACGATGTCCGTGTCCAGGCCAACATACTGTATCATTTGAAACATCAAGCGCACCTTGTAGCTTGATCTGAAGCATCGAGCATCCATGAGTTGTTGCGTTTGATGCGTTTGCCTTTTCGCATTTTCCGTGCTCAAAGACGGCCTTTCTAAAAGGCATGATGCCGCTTGAATGAAGCGGGGAGTGCTCAAAGTACTCCCAGTCTCGGCCTTGTTCAGAAGTCGTGCTGTTCCATGTCCTCACCAGTTAGGTTTGTTTTTGCATTGGCTAGGCCACAGACAATGGGTGGAGAGGGGCTTGAGACGCCAAAGGCTACACCTGCAACAAAGGCCTGGTGACTCTTGGGGATAGCCCCTACACCAGAACACCCAATTTCTCGACACATGAAAACACATGTCACATATTGTCACATGTTGTATTGCAGAACTCGAAAGGCAGTGGCCGATGCAGTGGAAGATTTGGGTTTTGGCCTTTACCAGTGTCCCAGATGCAACTTATCATGACATCATGCGCCACCATGTACAACAAAGTCCGCGGACGAAAGTTAACAGGTCCTGGGGCAGATAAAATGCACGTACCAAGTGCTGAAGTATGGCATGTGAATTTTGTGCAGTCCGTCCCCCAAGCACAGGCTTGTGGTACGGGCCTCAGTTGATGGATTCAGTTGATTCTGGTTAAGAAACAGCGGTGAAACCTGGTGAAACAGTTTCTGCTGTTTGCTCTGATGCTCAGCCCTTGTTCCTCACCGGCGGTATTTTTCTGGCGGAGGGGGCCGAGATGCTGATCATGGGTTCGACTCCCCAGATGTCGCTGCGGCGCTGTTGAACGTTTGGGCGTGTCTGAACATGGGGTACACCAATGTACACCACAAATAGCCATTTTAAGAAGAACAATTGTGATTCACCAGTGCTCTTAGGGGTACCATATTTTCAGATAAACCATGATAAACCTATTCCAACGACGCCAATAGAAAACCACGGAAGATTGTCATGCATATGATGCTAGGTTCAATCACCTCACTTCTGCATCGGCACTGGGACCTGGACCCAGTCATTCGCGGTGGCATGGTGTCTATAGCCACTTGGATCCACTTGGCGTACCCTCTGGTAATTTAACGTAGCTATTGAAAATCACCATTTTTAATGGGAAAATCCACTATAAATGGTCATTTTCAATAGCTATGTTAAATTACCAGAGGGTATTTTGTGATACTGAGACATCTGAGACCGAGTCAATCCTGCGGGGAGAGGTATACTGAGATATACTGAGTATACTGTACGTAGTCACATGTAGTCAAGTAGTCATCTCATATCAAGCTGGAATGCTGGAACTGAGAAGCTGCAGGTTTTCATTGGCTTTTCAGCCGCTCGTCGTGAAGATAAGCGTCGAGTCGAGTCTGATGCGTTTTGGTCATGTTCGGTATTCTTGAAGGCTTCAATTTTATGGATTCGAGGTTGGAAACTTCCTTTCCGGACAGATTGGTGATCGATTTGGACGTCGCGCGTCCATTCTGGTGTCGCCCTGCTCTTATTTTCACAGTGCTGCTGCCGGAAGCGTCATTGACAGGTAAGAGCTCGTCATGCCTCTATTTTCTTGCAAAGGTACGCGATGATTGCCATCTTTGGCTTTGCCACTGCATGTTCAGGAGGGCTCGAACCTAAGTTTGGAGCTACGCATAGGTGTGGGCCTCAACTGGGATACCCAGTGTCCATGCAAAGACGGGCAAGGCCAGCATTGATGCTCTTCCTTCGGTTTTTCGTTGGTGCTGGTGCTGACTTCAGATCTTTTGAGCCGACAATGCCACTTGAAGGGAATGATTGTCAAGATTGTCTAGCGTCCGCAAGCTCTTAGGCTGTGGAATTGGGTTCCCAGCAGCATACTCCTTGATGCCAGAGGTGCAAGCTCCAGTTGGTTTTGTTAGTGATATGTGCCTGGCAGGAAACATCACAATGGTTCAGCTTGTGACGTGTCTCAGACGAGGTCGCCCCTTCAACCTGGCGAAGTAGTTTGAGCACCTTGATGATCGGCTTCATGCCGCTGGGGGAACTCATTGGTGCTTTAGTAGCAAGATCCTCAGCGTGAACGAATCTTACTGACTGCCTCGTATCGAGATGTTGATGAGTTGATATTGGTGGCGATATAATGCGATATATAAATATAAATATATATATAATTATATATAGATATATGAATATATAAATGAATAAATAAATAAATACAAAATATAAACAAATAAATATAAATAAATAAATACAAATAAATATAAATAAATACAAATAAATACAAATAAATATAAACAAATATAAATAAATAAATAAATAAATAAACAAATAAATATATAAATAAATATATATATATATCATATGTATAACATATACCTATATATACCTATATATACCTATATATTATATATACACATATGCTGTGCACATATAATCTCTAGATCTCTCTCTCTCTCTCTCTCTTGTATTCTCTTGTCTTGGTGATTGTCCGCGCCTTTGCGTCAGTCTGCTTCCAGGTTCTGTTAGTGGATCCAGAGCTGGACAACTCTGCGAGAGGTGCCCTGAACCATCCTCAACCCTGAAGCATCCTGCCAAGGACTAAACTGGTGATTTTTGGCCATTTCTTTGCAGGCTGCAGTGCTTCATCGTACTACCCGGCCAGAGCTCTTCAAGAGTCACTTCCTTAGATATGTCAGATGTCACCGACCTGTGACGAAGTCAGCGGAACAAAGCAAGGCCGGAACTCTGTGCATGGCGGACGCTATGTGAAATGAGTGCCAGCAGCCAAGACAGAGACCATTGAAGCCATTCGCGACGGTGTTGCGGTCTAAGACCTTAGACTGTGCATTGGAATCGACAGAGAGTCAAGGCCATTCCGGCATTCTTCTTCTTGGTGCTCGTCTGCTTCTTATCTTGCGACAGTGGTCAGCAGTTCTTGATGAAGCAGAAAGAAATTGTACGAGAAAGTTTTTCCTTCCCTTCCGGCCTTGGTCCCTGCTACAGGCCAGCCGGTTCCTTGATGAGTCGCCACAGTTTCTAGCTAGTTGCGGGCGCTACGAGGAGTGCGAGCAGGTGCCATTCAATCCATGAGTCTATGATGTCTATGCGCCTGGGAACGCCATGATCTGACTACTACAATTTTAGAATCCAGTTGGTGATGCTCCTGCAAAGATAGACGATGCGATTCGTGTAAAGCCCCGCCAAACACAGAGAGAGAGAGAGAGAGACAGACAGAGAGAGAGAGAGGGGCCCAAGAAACTACGTACAACCTGTGGTTCAAGCCCGCAGTTCATTATTTGAGCCCATCATTTTGACGAGGTGCTGCAACGAATGGTGAGGGCCCCATTTTCTGGTGGCTGCCCATTGAGCGTACATCCCTCCCTGGTTCCGACATGCTGCTAAAGGCCTTGCTCAACGGCAGCCAGCTGAACGTGGAGAAGTTGCGTGGCTCACTCAATGTCACTGGCAATGACGATGGTTCATGGCCAGTGAGTTTTCACGGTCCGGCTGTAACATTTCATACTGTAGGATATTTGACATATAACAGAGGGAGAAACTGGAAGGATATTTCTCTCCCTAGTGTGTGTATATATATATATATACATTATGTTGATGGATATTGTAGGAGAACTTCAACGAATTGCAGCTCTCAGGTGCTGCTTTTGCTTCTGAAGCTGCCCCAGGTGGGCTTGCCGCAGCCTTTTTTGAAACGATTTCTGACGGTTGGAGAGTCAGGTGAAGTGAGTCCTCTCTCGCCGAAGAGAAACTATTCATTTCTCAGCGCTGTGAATCTGTCGGCTCCTCAGATCCAGGTGGCCATAAGACTTGCCTTTGGCCTTTGAAAGCACAGAAAATGCCTGGCTGGTGGAATGTGGCATGGTGGTCTTCAAAATTTTGGTCTCAGGCTGTGGGCAAACTACCTGAAGGTTGCTGCCTTCATGTGCTTGGCCCACGTGGCCAAGGACACCGCGAATTCTTGTGAAATACTTTTTGTGGAATTTCAAGAGTCAACTCTTGCATCCTATCAATGAACGGATATGTAATGATGATTAATGATGTGTATATCCATGCGTCAAGCTTTCAAATGATCCCTACAGTCCAGTGCATCTGAGTGCATCTCAGGACTTCAGCGTGTTTGGCCTGTCCTACATGTTGCCTCAGTGCCGCTTCTGCATCTGTTTGACAGCGGTGGACATTGGTGGACCATGGTGGACATTGTCCCAGTTGGATTTCGTAGGTACTTTGCTTTCCTAAAGGGTCTTGTTGCCTTGGCCTCAGAAATGCAAAGTCGGTAACCTGTTTTTGTCGCTGTTTTGGCTAAGGCAGGGGTGGAGTTGCTTGTGGTGCAGCCCCCGGCCCTCAGCAGCTAGTGGAATTGTGATTGTTGCCACAACAGTGTCTGCTCTGGCTGAGGTGGCTACCTTGGCACTACCTGGGGTTGTGCTGACATACCTCTGTTCAAGGATCCAAGGAGTAAGGAGCTTAGTTGTTTTCTCTGGTGTATGTATTTGAAGCCGCTTCACTCTGCATTCTTGCTTGATCCATATTCCATATGTCATATTGATCGATATCATCGATATGGATTCATAATGATCCAATTTGGCCCGTGCGAGGTGTCTTTGGTTTACCTCATGTCTGGAAGCGGTGCATTAGGCAGCATGCCAGCATTGAGCTCACTTCGTGCATGAGCAGACCAAGTTCATGGCAGGCAGCGTCTTCGCTTTGGGAATGCTTCAAGGAGTTCCAGTAAGCATGGTGAGAAGCTTACTTCGGGAATCAAGGTTGCTCAAGCTCCAGAAAGAATTGGCTATTTCGACTTTGATGGTAAAAGCAAGGCTGCTCCAGCAGCTTACATGGTCAAGATCTTTGCCATGTCGGAAGCTGTGCATCTGCGTTTGTTTCTGTAGTTGATGTGCTCATCCCCGTCGCCGTTGCCATTTAATCGAATGCAATTCCCTGAGGTCTTTTTTTGTGTTTACAGTTGCGTACACCGCAGCAGCCTTCCCAACCCATGTGCGTCAAACTGCTGAGCTCGCCTCAGAAAGGTGCAGAAATGGCTGAGTGGCGGTCGAGTGCTTTCCAGCATAGTACTAGCAGATACTAGCAGCTAGCAGGAATTCTGATGATTTCTGTGATGGCGTCATATCGGTGTTTGTACCTATTGAGACTATAGACATGTCACATTCAAGATAGCGTACCTTGGCAGATGTCAAGCAATCAATGTACCTACAAAGCTGGTCTTTAAGAAATCTACTTAACATCTGCACTTGCGGTGTCGAGGTTGGCTTCTGTACTGCTGCAGGGCGGTTGGGATCCATCAGTGCGCCCGCAGTTTCTAAGATTTTCCGAGCGACCCTGCTGTGATCTCTTCACATCTCTTGACAGCCAGGTGCACCGCTGGTGTTTGAACTGAGCAAGTCCTTCACTGGAAAGTTCGACTTCTTTATCGGTTTCTCAGTTGTGGAACCAGAAATTGGTTTGACCCTGCGATGTTTTCACATTTTTCGGATTCATCGTCGATAGATATGTGTCCACTTCGTTTATCCTCATTGGCGTGAAGAAAACAGCAAACCGAGGATGCCTTATTGCCCTCTTGACGTCTGTGGCAATTACTGCCCCGATTGCCCTCCCAAAGTGGGGCTGTCTTGACATTCAGGCCGCGCGAAGCAGCTGGCATTGCTGGGTAACTATTAGCGGATGCAACTGCTTGGTGTTTAAGTCTATTGGAGTTGCATTTGACGTGATTGGTTTGCACTGCCAGGCTGAGGGTTTTGCGGAGTCTTTGTAAACAGATGGAAAGGACTGAGATTCGAGAGTCTATATGTTCCATTCGGCAGACGTGGGGGAACTGAGGCAAGATACTGAAGTGGGGTGCCTGATTCGCACAGGAGGGATACGGCAGCACTGCGAAGAGCTGCGCCTGAAACAGCCCACTGTGAGGCCTGATTTATGTTGGCCAAAAAGAGCTGCAGTGCGCACCCATGCCATGTGTTGATTTGCAGCTGGGACTGAGCTGGATGGCATGGCTGCAACACTTGTCGTGGCTGTGCCACTTGCAGACCACTTTGCAGCTTTTGTGGTCAGGACTATATAGCTACTAGCATGACCCCAGGAGGGGTGTTGAGCCCTAGTCCATTCTAGTCCCATGGCCCTACAACGCGTTGCGCGCTGTGGGTGTTGCCACCTTGCCGGAGTCGCTCGAGTCACTCGAGTCGCTCGAATCGCTCTGCTTGCGCTCTTTCTGGCGTCCTTCGAAGCTTCCACCAGTTTCGCAGAGAGCTTTTGGCGAGCACTTCCCCGACGAAGTATCCCTTTGGCACTGACACTTGAAGGGCTTTCTCAAGTGGCATTTGCTGATGATGATGGGGAGTCAACTTCAGGCTTCAACGTGTTTTTACTTCTGGTGCCTGTTGCGGTGATAGCTTTGTTGCAGTGGGTCTTCTCTCTTCGACCAAAGAAGGAAGAGGGGGGCGATGGATATGCATCCACAACGCTGCGGGGCAGAGATAGCAATGAGAATCTCCAGAGAAAAATCAAAAAGATGGAGGAGGAGCAGAGGTTGGAGGACTTGAGAACCCAGAAATTGCTGGAAGCTGCTAGTGCCCGTTCTCGTGGTGTTTTCTCAGATGAACTAGACCAGGAGTGCGACCTAGAAGATGAAGACTTGTACAGTTCAGATTTGAAGGCACAATTGCGCGCAGCTCAAGATTAGATTAGATGGTGGTTTTTAATTGATTTTCTGGAAACTTGGACACAGAAGAAGTCTAGATTTGTCTCGTTTCACTGTCTCACGAAGATTTTTCCAAAGTGGCCATGTGAATGTAGTAAAAGCGCTTCACCAGCGACCGTCATGTAAAGGGTGTGCATGACACCATGAATCATGAAAAATCAAGCCAACCAGCCACAAATCGTTCCTTGTAGCATTGCCGGTATGTGAGAGAGATGATGATAGACGTATGACGTATATAGTTCTTCGTGTCAATCCAATGGGTGAACCGCAGTGCCTCAAGTCACTTGTAACCCTTGTCATCGTGTCTGAGTCTGGATTTGTCAAACTTCAGCTGTTTGGTTGTAGCTGGACTGCGTGTATGTGGACATCCAGAGATAGATAGGGAGCTCGCAACTTGGTTGCGGTTGTGTATTTCCGATACCTTCAACGGAGTGGACCTCAAGAGTGTGCAAGCTGCGCAACTTCCATCCAGATCCTAAGGTGCCTGCCAATTGCCAAAGATGACTGAGAAGCAGACACAGGAGGACATTGGTGTGACAGTCTTGAACAGTGTGTATGTCTGCTCTGCTGCTGGGCAGTCAGTGCGTAAGTTCAAGCTCAATCAACTATTTGATCACACAAACTCTTCAGGATTACATTGAAAAGCTTCTGGAAGACATGAGCCAGATCCTTTCAATCCTTCCAAGATCATCAATGAAAAACCTTTCACCAGTGTCGGCCAGTGTCACCGTTCAGCCTTGGTCAGCTCAGGTGCAGATGCTACATTAGAAGATCTCATCAGGAAGCTGCTGCCTCGGTGGACTCTATCGATTTGGGTGTGTTCACGGCTAGTGTTGGAGAACAGCACATGGTTCGAAAGGTTATGATGCGCACAACGTCATTTGAGTTGCCATAGTTTCGGATCCACAGCTTCCAACTCAATGCACAAAGGATTGGTGCCATGCAGCGGCAAAAGATACTCGAGTGTTCAGCTCAGACATGTTTCAAATGTTTAGACACCATGTGTGACACCTTTCCTATCCTTTCCTTCTGAACTTCACATATTTGATCGTTCGTGCCAGTGCCGCGAGACTGGAAATGGAACGCCTGACCGCCATCGTCGACCAGCGAGTTGAGGATCGGGTAGAACATCTTTTGAAGCCAATCCAACAATCCAACACCGTTCAAATTTCGGTGCCAAGCCATGTGCTGAAAGGAGCGACGTGCCCTAGCTGGCAATCCTGACCGGGGGATTGATGCTGCCTAGGGGCCAAGTGGCTCACAAGAGGTGCGACATGGCCCGAAGGCCTCACTGTTCTAGCCCGACCATGGCGTGTGTTTGTCAGACTCCATGCCGAAATTTGTAATTTCTGCACGCTGCCTTGGTGTGCATCTGCAGTGATAGTTCAGAGTCTTCAATGTCATCTTGTTGCACCTTTTCAATGGAGTGGTGCCAGCAGATGTGACTTTGAGCTAGTTCTTTGCGCATAGAGACCAATTCACTAACTGCAACGGAATGCCCTCAGAAACGGAAGCATGTGTCAGCAACTGGCTGCATAGGGCTTGAATCAATTAAGAATTACACGGGAGCTTCGTGGCACATTTGGGTTTTGCCGGGAGCCAAAGTAGAAACAATGGGGTTTGTGCTCCTCGAATGGCTCGTCTCCCCATAAAAGGCTTCTGTGGAAAGGAACCCCCTGGCACATTTTGACACACTTGTTCAACATTCGACATTGCTTCTCATTGACGAAGAGATTTGCAAGGATTGTAAAGAACCTTGTAATCTTGCATGGCCAGTCATCAGCTGAAACAGTTTTATTTTGGCCGCTTTTTTTGCAGCCAAGCTGGCTGCGCGGGGCGCGAGGGTTATGGCACGACCCATAGCAATGTCATAGCAAAGTGTAAAGTAATGCCAATGGTACATTCGATACGGACCGCAATTGATTTGCACCTCTGCCATTGCAAATATCCAATGATACAAGCTCAAACAATTTTCCAGCTGCCTTTTGAAGCCATGCAGCCTCCAGATCGATTTCACTGCCAAGCAGGCACACTTCTAGAGATCAAACTTAGCCTTGAAGAGTTGAACTTTGCGCCCTATGGTCGCATGCATTTCATTCGCTTCGTGCCCCAGTTTCCATTTGGAAAATTTCCAGGACAGCGTCGCACAGCTGGGATCAAGGCCCGGGGCGGATGCATGTTCCTTTGGACATCCCCGACATCCTGGACATCCCGGACATCCCTTATCCCCGACATCCCTTGGATAATTAGCCTGTGGCTTATTCTAGCCTACGGTAGCCTTGAAGCTTCAGCATGCAACCATCTTTTTGGATTTGAGGCATGTGTCCTAGCAGTGGCCGCATGTCTCTTTGCACACTGTGGGCGTCTCAGCACCAAAAAACAGCGCTGCAGTTGACTCAGCAGCAATGAGGTGATCTGAGCTTTGTGGCTTCCGCCCCAATGGCGTGGGGCTTGGTGTATCTATGCAAGCTTGATATGTGCGGGCAGCATAAAAAACAAGTATATAGATAACATATAGATCATATAGGAACATATTTTGGTATATGTGCATATGCATGCTATAACTGCCAAATCATGCTAAGATATGTATCGTTGAAATACCTTGAAGATCCTTGAAGTCTTTCATGTCAGTTTGATGAGATTGAACCCTTTTGTCGGCTCTCATTGCGTGTCGAAGCACAGGTTCAAAGAGTCGGGCTTCGAACACAGCAGCCGTCTCTTGTGCGAAGGGCGGTGCCTCGGAAAATTGGAGAAGCTGTGGGCAGCCTGTGGTTTGAGTGCGAAATTCAGGCGCCCGATGACAAGGAATTGGATGATGACGATGAAGGCGAGCAACATGGAGCGACATTTGGGCACTGTGCTCTTCCTTGCACAGATCGATTTTCATCATCCACTGCAGGATTTTGGTCTGATGATGAGGGGCATGAGGACTTCAACAGTGTCGGAATTCAGAGTACTGCCAGCAATTTGATATCCATGTAGCTTGATGCCTGTGGCAGGAGGCTTCGCCTGAATTTTCCACCGTGCAAGCCCTAGAGCCGTAGAGGCCAGGTGCAGCCTAAATCCTCCTTTGAGCTTTGGGATCTCCAAGGAAGCCGAGGGAGGGAGGCTGATGCCGAGCCAGACGTGCGGCGCTTGGAAATCTGTAGCAGCTGAGGGTAAAGATTGCTCCAAACTACCTCAGTGAGCTGCCACGGCATGATAGGAAGGCAGATGTAGCCCGCCAACGGCTTTGGAACATGCCGAAAGAAGTCAACTTCTCAGAAAATTCAGGAGCACAAAGTGGCAATGCTGGCTACTGACCAAGAGCTGACTGCGCAGAAATTTACAGCATTCGGTAGCCTTGTTTGCAGGTGCAGCCGTTCATGAATGTGGGAACCGTTTGGTTCTCAGTGTACGATAGCGGATTTTGTAGATACGGGCATGTCATTCCCTGTCCCCCAGAGTGACCAAATGCCACAGCAGCTCTATTTCCTTTTTGGTTCTGATGGCCAGCTGCAGGTCACTTTCAAAAACAAAGAAAACAGGGATCGCACACGGGACCTCGTCGTCCTGAAGGAAGGGTCCCGCAAGCATCGGATGTTGTAAGTTGGATAGCTAGAGCACCCTTTGAGACATGCTCTTCTTGACCAGGCGAAGAATTCCAAGGCAGCGTTGAGCTGTGAGGGGGCACTGGGAGCAAAGAGAGGCTCTGCATGTGGCAGGGTTGAGCTTTTGTCTTTCTTGCGACAAGGCCATGATAGAAAGATCCCAAAAAATCATCAAGAGTGCGACGCTTTCAAAGATTCGAATGAAGAGGCCTGGCGAGGTCAGTGTGTTCAGTTCGGTACTGGGACCTTATTTGGACCCGAAGATATCCTCGCCTTGCAGGATGATGAGATTTGGCAGGGAGGATTTTGGAAGAGACAGTCCATGGCAATGGAACCGTCCAGGCCGGATGATGGCCAGATGTTTCTTGGGCAAAGTGTCGTTGATTTCCGCAGTCCGCATCGACAAAATGGCCCTCTGAATCCAAGGTCGTCGAGCTTTTCGCATGCGTGTTGCGCTCAGCTTGTAGGTTTTTCACACGAGCAAGAGGTGTGACAGGTCCTTCCAACATCACTGGGACTTTCCTCACATCTTCTGTGAGAACCAGTGTGCTTTCACCAAAGAATGCTTACCGTATGATGTATGCGTTATTTGCCATGACATTTCTGACACGCGCGCATAATCATAATTTCCGCTGCAGTCAATTGTCCAGACAGTCACCTGCCAAATGGCTTTCGTTTGATCATGTGGATGCAGGAAAGAACGTCTACAGAACATGATCCCTTTCAGTTGTGATGGTCCCAAAGCAGAATCCCTGCACACCTCCATAAGAAGAGCTTCTTTGGCCGCGCTTTGAGTTTGCTTCAGGGAGTGGTATGAGGGACTTGCGCTATGTGGATGAGAAAGAGCGTTACCAACGCAAAAAGAGGGAGCTGAGGCTGTTTGTGTTTCTGCAGCTCAGATTGTTTTATTGTAATATGTGGTAGCTATAGCACAATGTAGCACAGGTGGCCTGACCAAACGCGAAAACGCAAGCGCGAAAGTTGGCAGCTAAGCATGCCAGCAAACACAAGTGCAACCCCCATCCAGCTTCAAAACGCTGCGCAATCTGCCACCTTGAGGACCAAAGAAGGAATTGAGATGGATCGGAAGTTCGCACAGGTATGGCAGAGGAACTCAAACGGCTGGCAAAAGGCGAGTGGTCTTGATTGGTCCTGGCTCATTTCCTTATGTTTTCTGAATTCTTGTTCTTCTGGCACTTCAGCTGCTCCTTGTCTTTGCCAGGTGAGACATGTGTCAGGCTCAGGATGAATCGTTCGTCCAATCTTCCTGACCGCGCTCCTGGCAATTCGTAGATAAAATCTGGAAGAATTGAATGACCGGAGAGCCTGGAATACTGCTGCAATTTTCACACACACACATTGGATCAACTCTTTCGCCCAAATATTTTAGCCAATTTTCGATAAATAAATAAATCTTGGGAACACGAGAAAACATAATGGGGGAAAACACAACCGGGCGGCAAATCGCAGGCACGCTGAAACAATGGGCCGGGCAAACCACAACGACAAAGGACAACGACATGATCAAATCTAATGGAACCTATATTCTATATATTATATATCTAATTTTTATATATCAAATTTGCAAGGAAAACTAGGATTACCAATCCCCCAAGGAAATTATATATGGGGTATATTATCTAAATATTGTATAATATATAATTATATTATTTATTTATTATTATTATATTATAACATATTTTATTTTGATTACATTTTATAGATGATAAAATATAATTGTTTTTTTAAAATTAATTATATTAAATATATTCTTAAATTAATAAAATTTATATTATTTTATAGGGGTTCATAATGGTTCATATTTTTAGAAAATTATATATATATTAAATTAATAAAACATATTTGGTTGGATTTTTATTCCTAATAATTTTTATCGATATATATTATATATAAAAACAATAATTTATATTTATTCCTTACTTGCTAGGTGAGGGTTATTAGATTTTATTAGAACTGTTTTTCTTATTCTCCTTTTCCTCCTCCTCCGTTTCCTCCTCTAGTTTCTCCTCGACCATGTCTGCATTAACTTCCACCTCTACTTCCGCCTTGCGAACTCTTCGCCAAGCTCTTCGCCAAGTTCCCAGCTTAGTACGCACTACTGGACATTAACCTGGGATCTTCCCAGCTCAGTACGTACCGCTGGAACTCAACCTGGGCCCTTCCCAGCTCAGTGCGCACTGCTGGACCTCAACCTGGGACCTTCCCAGCTCAATGCGCACCACTGGACCTCAACCTGGGACCTTCCCAGCTCAATGCGCACCGCTGGACCTCAACCTGGGACCTTCCCAGCTTAGTGCGCACCGCTGGACCTCAACGGCCAGATAGAATGCCAGAAGATATGCCAAATAAAATGTCAGATAGAATGTCAGAAAATATGCCAAATAAAATATCATAAGATATGATATGCTAGATAGAGTGCCAGAAGATATGCCAGATAGAATGCCTGAAGGTACGCTAGATAGAATGCCAGATAAAATGTTAGATAGAATACCAGAAGGTATGCCCAGTGTATTGTCTAATGACGAAAAGCCGTTGTTAATAGCGAATGCTAATTCCTAATTACGAAAAATGTATGTCGACTAAATGCGAATAGCAGTACCAGATACCATAGTGATGCAGAAATGTTTTGGGATTTGGAATCGTTTTTCATTGTGGCTGCAGCATTTGGTGCAAAAACATGCGCGATGCCGCGTGTGATGGGTTCGCTGGCTGGTGAAGAACTGGCCAGACAAATCCAGGCTGGGTGTTTCTTAATCGGACTTTTGACGGTCTGGATAACTCTGTGAGCTTGTTTTCATAGTAATCAAACAGAACTCGCATGGTGGCAGGCCGTGCAAAAGTTGAATCGGTCGCGACGCAAACGTGGCTTTCCTCCTTTGCCTTTGCCAATGGAGCAGGCAGACCAGGATGTAGCAAAGCGCTTAACCACAAACCTTGCTTTTCTTAACCCCGAAGTGTACTTTCCCTTAACTATGCAAATCTTGCTGCGAAATGTTTCCATTGCTGCGCACGACCTTTCCCAATCCGCGAACATAGCTTACCGTCACTGCGAAATGTTTCCACTGCTGCGAAATGTTTCCATTGCTGCGCACGACCTTTCACAATCCGCGAACATAGCTTACCGTCACTGCGAAATGTGTGCATTGCTGCGCACGACCTTTCCCAATCCGCGAACATAGCTTACCGTCACTGCGCACGACCTTACCTTTCCAATGCGAATTCAAAGCTGCGCATGGCTTTCCTTTTCTGCGAATTCAATCCTGACCTCAACTGCGAAATCTTCCGTTTGCTGTATATCGCCTTTCCTTATCTGCGATTTCCGAGCTTACCTTAACTGCTAAATATTTCGTTAACTAACCTTAACTGCAACATGTTTCTTGAGCTGCGGGAGGCAATGATTCGATATCAGATTGACCATTGCAATGGCCTGTGTGGTTTCTGGGAAAGCCGAGGTTGCAAGATATGCAAAACTGCATGTTGGAAAGCCATTGGCCTTGAAGGATCAGTCGCAGGAAAGCTTTTGGCTGCTTGCCAAGGACAAAAAAACTGCGGGCACTGCTCTTGAAACAGTTGCAAGAGCATTGTTGCAGCTCAGATGGCCAGATCGCCCGTGATCACATGGCAGAGCAGCCAGCGAGTGTTTCGTTGGTGAGCAGCTGCGGGTTTGAAGTGGAAAGCGAGGCCTTTGATGTTTGGCCCGCAGCTTCTTGGTAGCACAGTTTAACCATTCTTGGTGAGGAATGCACTGGACCCAAACAAGGAGAAAAAAACTGACAGACATTCAGCTGCTTCAGGGCCTGTATGACGAGAAACGGCATGGGCCTCCAGGACCACTGCGCTTGATCGGCGGCAAGGAATGTGTGGTCAAAACGGCAGTTGGACAGCTGGTACCGTATCTTGCATAAACCATTGTAATTTTTTCCTGTTGGATTGATGCCAATGCGAATGGTTGCAGTGACATGAGGCACAATGCGAAGAGGGTGAGACCGAAGCAGCAATATATCGTGAAGAAGTCACAGAAGGAAGCTGACGATTCTGCTTCTGGAATATATGATGCTATTGCTGGCACCTGTTCGCAGCAGGGGTTGCAAGGTATGCACAAAGAGTAATATGTCGTCGTTTCGGTGGCAAAGACTTGGAAAGAAAAGGAAAAAGATATAAGAATTTGCAGACTTGCAGATTGTATGGAATTTGTGCGGCCGTTCCCTTGTTGTTGTCTAAGGCTCACCAGTGACATCAACGATCTTCCCTGTATGCTGGGCCTACCTCCTCCGGCGCGAAATTGAACAACGCAAGATCTCTAACGAGCCAATTTGTTGATTAGAGATGAGACTATGTTGTGTTTTTTATAAATTAAACTATCTTTTTTTAATAATTTTGGATATATAGATGTTTTTTTCGCAACATTTTGGCATTCTATTTGGCGTATATTCAGGCATTCTATCTGGCGGTTGAGGTCCACGGGTCCTTACTGAGCTCGGGAGGTCGGCGGTTGAGGTATAGCGGTGCTTACTGAGCTCGGAAAGACCCCGGTTGAGATTCCAGCGATGCTCACTGCACTCGGACCTGGCGGTTGAGGTGTAGCGGTGCATACTGAGCTCGGAAAGTTACCGGTTGGAATTCTAGCGGTGCTCACTATACTCGGTGAGGTCGAGCGGTGCTCATTGCGATCGGACCTTGGCGGATGAGGTCCAGCCGTGCCCACTGCGTTCTGGAGCTGGCGGAGAGGGTTGGCGAGACACTCGGCGACGCGCAGTGGCGAGACACTTGGCGAAGAGGATTGGCGAGGAGCTTGGCGAAGAGGGTTGGCGAGGAGGACGAAAAGGGATAGTTTGCTCACTTGTGTCCTTCTTCAACTTGGGGAGGGGGGGGTGTACCACCCCCCCCGCAGCTTTGTCAATACAGCCATTCACAGTCACTACAGCCATTCACAGAGGGGGGAAAATCCACCACCCCCCCTCCCCAGCTGCATTCACAGAGAGGGGGGAGGGTCCACCACCCCCCCCAGCTGCCGAAAACAGGGCGGGGTAGGTCCACCACCCCCCCCCAGCTGCCGACAAACAAATCGGGGTGGGTCCACCACCCCTCCCCCGCAGCTTCCAACGATCAGAAGGGAAGGCTCCACCACCCCTTACTCCTCATTTCGCAGCAAATCTTTTTTTAGGTTTTGGCGTGACTAGAAGTAGAAGTAGTATTAGTATTAGTAGTAGTAATTCTTCCGTCTTCTTCTTGTTCTTGTGTCTGGTGTCGTCT